CAGTGCCTCCACGTTTCGTGTCGAGGCACCAGGAGGTCCTTTGACGACAGTCTCGGTCGACCCTCGACGTTCGTCGACGTCATCTGGCGGTGGAAGACTTCGGGTGAACTCAGTTGGGCTCCCCGTGTTGTCCTCTCCCTGCGCTCAGGCTTAAGCTTCACTAAATACGGTCCCAGTATCGACGGGGGCCTGGTGTCTGGGGCAATCGAATGTCTGTCCCGACCACAGCAACCATACTGCCGTCAGTCCAGTCTTTGAATTCAATTCCCCAAGTGTGATACAAGCATAAGTGGGCGCGAATTCTTTCTCCGACAATAGCAACATGTCGTCGACCCGCGGCCGCGGGGCCATTCTGTACGTTGGGACCGCGCAACAAATTAGCAGAAAGGCCTAACTATGATGGTCCTATACTCACGGACTCCATGCGACGACACGAGCCAGGATGCAGGGTTGCAAGGATGTTAGTCCGCGCTGCCTTGAGGACCTTCGGCTAGGGGGTGCGCATCCTCTCCGGCGGGTTTCTTCTGTTCTGCCTGCATACTCTGACGATGGATATCATCCATGTCCTCCCTCCAGCTGTAGAATTCTTGGAAGTTAGGCACAGTGCTTCAAGTCACACTCAGCTTTCCGTCGCGATTTGACCAACTCCACATTACTACGTACCTCAAAATACCTCGTCCATGCGAGTGTGGCATCTTCCGCCTGACGAGCTCGTCCAACCGATCGTACCGTTCTCGCAGTGCTGGACCCATCCCAGTATTGCCAGACGTCCAATAGTCTCCATTATGGCCAATGCCTATACAGACGCCGCGCGACGCAATAGTACCGGAGAAGTGCTTCTCTTGTAGTATACTGTCCAATCGCGCCAGGACATCATCCTGCTCCACTGTCGTCAGCAGTCCGTCCAGGTCTTCGGCGTTGTGGTCTGTCCGAAGCCGTAACATAACAGCCATAGCTTGGAAGTGTTTCGAGACGATGCGAGACAGGATGTGCGGGATCCAGAGCCACTCTGCAAAGGGATGCCACAGATAGATCTCCAACCTCCACAGGTGGTCGTGGTGTGAAAGGTTGCAATGTCGCTCTGTGGGCATGAAACAATCAGCGAAGTGGCTCAAGAGATAACTAGGAAAACCTGCCGACTGTGGCATCAATTGCATCGTCACGAACAGGAGAACTGGGATAAATATTGAGCTCAACCGTTTCTGCAGATGTGGAACTCGCATCCAACAAAGTCTGGCTTCTGCTGGCTGCCGAGGATGGATCCAACTCGCCATCTACCCCAAAAATGAGATTGCGCACTCGAGAAGCCCGGCTGATCTGCACGAAGAGGTCTTCAACCGCTGGTGCAACCCATCGCACATCGAGATACTCCAGATTTGCATAGTTCAGTGGGAGAGAGGCCGGGGAGACGTGCTGTTTCTGCGAGCAGTCAACATTGACGCACCATAATTCACTAAGCCGCGGGAGTGCTGACACGAGGTGGCGAAGCTGGGCGGCGCTCGACAAGGTAACCTTGTAGAGGCAAAGAACGTCAATGGCGCTGAAGACCCCCAGGAAGCCGATGTCATCCATTCGGACCGAGCCGATGGTCCACTCAGCATCTTCAATGGTGATCCTCGACAACCTAGGAGCCTTGCCCGCGAGCATAGCGGCAAACGTCCCCAGGTGCCGGATCGGTTGGCGCTCCCCGGGAGAACCACCTGATATGACGACCTGTTCAATGACCTCACGGAGGCGAGGTTTTGCGCGGAGCATCTTGGAGAGCGAGAGGACGTCCGTCCGGTCTCGTAGATGGATGCGTTGACGAAGATGGTACCACGTTAGGTAGTACCAGTCTTGGCATACGAGGGCGCAGGATGTGAGAGTGGTCAGATGTGGCTCGCCCTTTGCAACAACGTAACCCGTATCCCATCCCGCAGCTACGTGGTCGATGATCCGTTCACAGACCTCCACAGGAAGCCGCGGGATCGAAGGTCCGTGAGAGGAGCCCTCGGATGTTGATACAGCTGTAGTACTGTAACCCACATGTGTAAACTAAAGTATCTGCGTCTGGACAGTGGCACTTACATCGACTCTGCTCTATCCATTCTGTTGACGTGGAATGTGCGCTACGGCGACGTGACCGCGCTGTCGCACAGTTGAGAATCTCCTGCCCGTGGCGACAGCAGACCGTCGACGTTGGAAACACGTTACTAATAGCCTCGTTATCTGAGATTGCGGCTCTCCAAGGACAAGCATAGTGCGATAGCACACTACCTGATGTCCGGTATGTACACTGGCTCCCAGACAAGCCAGATGCGCCGTCTTGGTCGTAGGTTCGCGCGGTGCTAGCGCTCGTTGGTGGTCGCGACGCTAAAAGGAAAGCACGGGGTCAGTAATGATATTCGTCCACGAAAGCGGAGCCGTACCTCGTGAGGACTTCTGGTGTGCGCTGCAGAAACAATCGCGGCTGGACGAGGCGGAGAGCGCAGGGAGAGCGAACGCAAAGATAGGCGGTACATATATGCATCGATACAACGTAGCGCGCGCTCGCCGGCGGGGATAGAAGCGTCGAACACAGACACACGACGTCGCAAGTGGTTCTTTGCTTCGAGTAAGTAGGCGCGGTGAGATCCAGACTGTCCGCAGTCATTGCGAGGATAGCCCTCTACGGCCTGGAGTCTCTGCAAAGCAGTACTCATGTCACTAATTTCATCCAGCGGCGATGCACGATGAATACATACAGAGGACCGCTCTCCTTGAATACAGTGCCGCACCTCCATCAGGAAAAAACCCTCCCGTGAATGCGCCGTAATACACTGTTATTCTGCGGAATAGACAGTAATGTCATATGTTCCCCAGTTTTTCGGGAATAGCTTTTGTTAGCTAGTCTCCTCTCTTTCAAGTACGAATGGATAAGTAATATGGTGCATTCCGGAGCATGATCTGCCATTCCTGCCTCATTGAGTCGTAGTACTTCGTTAGTAGCATATTCCCTAGATGCTACGACAGTTCATTGACAACGCAAATCGAGATTGAGCAACATTAGATTCATTGGGTGATAAAGTATGGAGCACAAAGACACAAGAGTGGTTGAATACTACAGGTAGTAGTACTGGGAATAGTATGCAATTATGTACGACTTCTCCGAATCTACTCATTGGGTATATCATCCCAGTCAATGTTCGTGTCACCAATTCGCATACCCGAGTGCAGGGTACGGCCAGTGTCATCGCACTGACAGGCGGCGCGGGCAAGCAAGCTATAAAAGCAAGGGCTGTGAATGTAGCATAAATGACTATCCTTTGAGCTGTGCAGTGACGAAACTACTAACCGGGTATTAGACGAACTCGCCCACATGCGCATACGACTCGGCGGCAGGCTCACCAGTCATGCGTAATGTCGAGTCGTCGACGTGTTCAATGTGCGCAACACTGGGAACACGTAAGTCATCTTGTATCTTGTCGTGGCTTCCAACATCGCTGACGCAGGTCCACTACAGAGCTCCCTCCGCTATCGGCTGCATCTGCCACGCAAGGAACGTCCGGGTTGCCAGGCGTCTCGAGGATGTGGAGGGCGTCTGCGTGGAGCGTTGCGCACGGACAAACGGATAGGTTCGCAGCCAGGCGGGCCATTGCCGTTGCGACGATTGTCCGTTGGGCGACGAGAGCGAGTGTCCGTGCGAGGGGAGCATCACGCGTGTGGTAGAAGAGCCATTTGGCAGGAGCTGCGAGAAGGGTGGCGAGAATAAAAATGTGAGCAGTGTGTTGGGCCAGCTCTAGATGTACTAAAGGCACTCACTCGGCGAGCACATCAGATGCGTACATCGTAGGCAATCGAGACGGGCAACAGGTTGGTACACGACAAAAGGGTGTGACTGCATACAAAAAACCTTTTGGAGTCAGTACTAACGAGAAACGATCGACAGTGAGGTACTCGCCGCACCTTATGCCAACAGACGCAGCAGGGATAGACGAGGGCTAGGACGAGCGTTGCTGGCAGTTGGACGCGACGTGGCGATGAGACGGACACGTGACCAAGTTCAGGGCAGACAAACTGTGGCCTTGTGTTCGCGCCGCAGAAAGTGGCTCCTCTGCGTCTACTACTAGCTCCAATGCCACGCCGCGGCACCCCAATCTCATTCAATCCAACAGCAACAGTGCATCCTCGGCCTCAACCTTCACGCCCATCTCCACCTTCACCTGCGCCCTCATCGCATCGACCGCCTTCTGCACGCCCATGCCGAACACCGCAGAAGACGCCAGCAACGACGGGGGCAGGGACGAGCTCAAACTGGGCTTGTTCAACGGCGGAGGCCGCTGGCGCATCGCACACGCGTACGTATACAGCTTGCGTAGGTTCTCGCTCGGCGGCTGCATGGGCGAGGGCGAAGTATACCGTGCCTCATACCGTGGCATGGGCATCTCCCCGCGAACGTCGTTGAGCGAGTACGGTGGCGGAGGCTGGCTCGGGTGGAGCGCATGCACGAGGGGCGGCGACACCGACGGCGAAGCACCCGTCGAGTCATTCCATTCACATGTAAGTACACATGCGCTTCTGTCCGACACTCGGTGTAACGTTCCTTGGCAGAGTCGACTCCCGCGCGATTTCGATTACACGTACAGCTCGTTACTCGAAGGCGTGAAACAGGAAGCACACGGTGCGCATGCAAGTCTCGTGCAGAACAATGAGACTACCTGAGTCAGGCAAATCCGTAGCAATGGGGCTGGCAGAAGGGCGTGCACGATGAAGGCAACCAAAGTGAGTAGCACATAGGCTCGAATCTAACAGTGCGCCCTTCTTGGGCATGCCAGACTGCTGCCTCCTTTAGCAGTACTCTCGCGAGCAGGCATATCGGCGAATAGTACATCTGTCTGCGTGCTCGCTCATGCGCCCTTTACCAAGTTGCTCGCGCGCCCGCGCTCCTGCTCGCTCGTTCGCTCACTTAGTCGCTTCTACTCGCAGTCGCTCTGACTCACTCACCCGGCCTCTCGCTCACGCACTCGCTCGCCTGCGCGCCCCCTACTCGCCTGTAGGCTGTTCGTCCCGCTCGTTCGTTCATTTCGCCCACGTTTCCTTTCGCCCATACTTTCTTTTGCCTGCGCTTCCTCTCGCCCATCTGCTCGCGCTCCCTCGGCCTCCAATGCACAAGCATTGATGTCCTCCCGTGACTTTCGACATAGCAGATGCAGGTGAGTGTTTGCGCTGATCCAGTATGTACAGTGTTGTGCTGTAGCATTGTACGACGTATCTCGGATGCAAATACGCGATCATGACCAAACAATATATTCTGTTTTCTTGAGCAATATGAAGCTATGAATGCATCGGGTGTGCTCTCTGTTGGATTGTAATGAGTACGAGTATCATTGCCGTCAAGTACTATTATTCAGTATTCTGTCTTACCATTATGTTGCTGCCTGTAGTCAGTTTCATGCTGGTGAATGAATGCATAATTACGAACTCGTACAGCAGTGAAGTGTATGGAAATAAGAATTCAATGCATTATTTCGAATGACATCAGAATGACTCGCCATTACTGAGCCTCTACGTATTATTCAGAATGGTCAACTATACAGCATAATTCCGAGGAGCGTTTTTTCCTGATGCGTTTTAGTGAGCGCGCGGCGCGAGGCAGGCTGTCCGAACCTTGACTCAGCTTCTTCAATGTGTGCCTATCGATAATCAAGGTGGACCACATACTGTAGAATTTAATTCAATCCGGCGCGGGTTGTGACGTGTGACGGCCGCGCCGCCTGAAGACGGCGCGGCGCGGGCGATGGTGACGTGTGACACATGCGCGCAGACGGTGCGGCGGCGCGTCAATGTGCTCAAAACATCACCAAAATGCGTGCTGGAGACCGCCGCCGGAGGCGGCGAAAAATATATGCATTTGTCACGACCGGCGGGGCCCTCAGTGACCTGTGACAAGGGCCGTTTTCCGGTGCGGCGAGGGGCCTTGTGACGTGTGACCGCCGGATTGAATTAAATTCTACAGTATACGTAGGCTGGTGACCGCCGTATGCATGCTGGGGGATAAGGCCGCCTCAAGTACGCCGGTTACTTGCCGGCGGTACGCATCGCGTTGACCTGGACATTTGGCAATCATACAACGACAGCTGGCGACCGGAAATTGAAACTTGAAGCCCTCCAGCGCTCGTGGGTTAGGCTACCGTCGACGCGCAGAGCTGAGAGCAGCGTGCGTCCTTTACAGGCATTCAAGTTACTATGTACATACAGTGCTGGCTCCTGTCAGTGTCGGGGCCGGCCCGGATGCCCACCGCAGTGTTTGAATTTGCGCTCAGGCTCGCAAAGTCGACTTACAGCACGCTCCACACACCCACATCCGAAAGAAATGTCACGATGCAATTGAATGGGAGTACTATAAGACTACACGACGGTCTACAGGATACAGTAGTACATATGCGCGGTGGGTAAGTAAGCAGAACAGCGGGTGTGCGTAGATGAGTGAGTTGTGTATCATATGTATACAGCTGCCAGAACATGAATCAGGACCAGCGACAGCAACGAGAAACGGAGCGCATTATCCAGTCGGAACGAGCAGAGCGAGAGAGGCAGACAGGTCCCAGGAAACAGGCTCGATGACGGAATGGAATGATAGGCTCAGAGAGAAACAGTACGCGTGCATGACAGCAATCCACTGCGTGACGTCCAGGGCGCCGGTCAACGGTGGGGGGACGTAAGGGAGGGGGCAGGTGGCCTGATTGAATGCGGGATCCAGCGACAGCAATGACCGGAACAAGGTGCGAGGGTGAAGGTCCGAGAGGGAAGCACGCGAGGGTAAAACCCCCGGGGGGCGAGTCGACATGAGGCAAAAAGCCTCTTCAGGCTCATACGGTGTCCATCCGCGACGTACGCTTGATGCTCGGTCGTTTCGTCAACATCGCCTCGCCCTGCACGCCCTCCTTGGGCAGCTCCGTCGGGCTCGCGCCCCGCTTCGTCCCGCCCGGCGACATCGACAGATGCCCATCGATCGCGGCGTCCTCCCGCATGTAGTCAGAGATGCTGCGTTTCCGCGACACGCCCCGCTCTCGCAGCGACGCACCCGAGCCCACGGAAGACACGGTCTCCGGTGAGTGCATAGGCCCGTCCATAAAGACGTCTTGACGGTCTGCGAGCAGTGCACACTGCACCCCTGGCGTTCCGAGCACCCTGCGGCGACAGACGACCCAACTCCTCCGCCTTCCTCTCCTCGTCCACGATCATCAGCGTCCCTTCAATCACAGCGCGATACACGAACACGTATTGCCGCAAGCTCTGGCACAGGCTCATCCGCTGCTCCCTCATGTCCTCGATCACCCGGCGGATAGGCTCGTCGTACGTAGAGAGCAGCGGCGGCGACATGTCGGTGTGCAGGCGACGCGGCTGGGTATAGTCAAAGACGCGCCCGCGCTGGTACTGCGAGCCCTCGCCATGGACAGTGCCCTCCTCGTCCGCCAGCCCTCCCGCAGGCGCAGTCGTGTCCGAGCTCTTCGACGAGCGAGATTCGGCGTGGGGAGGCGAGTCCGCAGGGCGCACCGCCGACCTCCAAGTGTCAAGACGACTGACGTGCGCCTCCGCGTCGGACTGGCGCTGGGAATGGGAATGACGCGCATGATCCGGGGACCGCAGCTTCCCATCGACTTCGACTTCCCCAGAGCTCGGGCTCGGCGAAACGCTCGTCTTCTCCTTCTTCGACAACGTCATATGTGCCGCCTGCTTCGCCACGGCCGCCGACAAGCTGCCGGAGCTTCCCGTGTGGCTCGACGGCGGGCTCGTCGACTGCGCCGACAGGTACGACGTCGACCGCGCCGTCGATTCTCCTGACAGGTCCGTTGAGCGCGTCGCGGGTCTCGAGGGGATCGGCGAGGAATCCGAGCTGCTGGATTCCCAGTCCTTACCGGCTACCGGCGGCGCGTCCCCACTCGTGCTCGTCGAGCTCGACGGCCACCTATGCATGGCAGCGCGCCGCACCTCGTCCACGAGCTCCGGCGACGCTGGGACCACCGTACGAGGGACCTCCTTGCGCAGCAGTCTTCTCCTTCCCAGCCGGCCCGTCCTGCTTCCGCTCGCCGTCCACGTCCATCGCTTCGGTGAAGCCAGCGACGCGCACGCGCACCTCCTCCGCTCCAACCGTCACAGGCACCGTGAACTCCGGCACCGTGGGCGACCTCGAAGGCGCACGCGACGGACTGCGCGCGCGCTCACCAGAGGAGGCCTTAGAAGACGGCAGACGGCGCGACGTATGCTGCCGCTTCGGCGTCGGCGCGACGGGCACGGCAGTCTTGACGCTAATCTTCTGAGGCTCCTCGTCTGCATCGCTCTCGCTCTCGCTGCTGCTCTCCTTCGTGCGCCCGCTGCGCCGCGCGATCTCCCGGAGCCACTCGAACGGCAGGTCGCCGACGCGTCTTCGGACCCGGCGGGGCAGGCGCAGCGCGATGCCCGATCCACCGGACAGCTTCGTCCGGTGCGCAAGCTCGAAAGTCGAGGTTCTGCCGGATCGCGTCAGAGAACGGGTTGAACGCAACCTAAACGGATGAGAAGGTCATGTCAGCAGCTGCGATGTCACCCATACCCAGCGACGTGACGTGACACTCTGCATGCTGCGTCGGGTAGCTCCAATGATTATAGCGCGTGAGGGATGAGTTGAATAGATGAGACAGGGAGGTACATAAGCGGCGAGCCGGGTGGAGGAAAGAGGCCTAGAATCACGGCATTGCCTTGTACGGCGCGCACCGTTCTCACCGTTCGCTGCTTGCGCGCGGTCCGAGGTCACGCTCGCGGCGGGCAAATCACACCCAGCGTCGCCGGTCCCAGTTGCGTGCATTCACGGGCGTGTCCAGTCCGTGCACGGCAGCCCGATCGAGCTCGATGTCACGCGCGCAGGGTCGCGGTGGACGAGGTAGGAGTCGGGCAGACCTGAGAAGAGCGCGCACCCGTATGAGAAGCGCCGGATTTGCCACGAGCATCCGCATCGGCGTTCTTCGCGATTCGCGAGGGCTTGGGGGTGGGAAGAGGGCCACACGTCAGGCCTTCAGGGCTTGACCAGGCAGGATATTCGGGAAGCAGCGCGGGTAGCGAGGACGCTCGAAGGGCGCATTATTCTGCGCAACAGCAGTGCGGCGTCGCACAGAATGCCAATCAGAGGTGAAGCGTCCTCGGGCGTGCTTGGAAATGGCGTCCGGGCCGCTCGCGCTGTCGTCCGGAAGAGTCGCCAACCAGACACGTTCGATCTTCCTCCGCCCAAGAGGATCAACGTGATGGGCGAGTCGGAGGGGGAGAACTGCGAGGCAGAAAGGTCGGTGCCCTCTGGATGCGACCACCCGGCCCGAAGCCAACACGAACATCGACAGAGGGCACCGCGTAGTCTCACTGCGGTTGCGGCGTGGAGAAGTAGGGGAGGGCGCTGGGCGCGAGCGAGAGCGACGTGCAGTTGGGGGATGCGCGGCATGCGAGTTTGCCCATAGTTGAAGACGCCGCCCTCGAAGAAGAGCGTGCGCGAGCTTTCCGAGAGTGTTCGCATTGATGCGCACGGATGGATCTTTCCAGCGAGATTGGTCACCGTGCGCCGCGCGTCCCGTGCACGAGCGATGGGTAGTTCGGCAGCGGTGACCGCAGGAGAAGAGTTGCTCCGTGCGTCGGGAGCCCAGCGCATTCCATCGCATGTACTGGGGTTGAGTGTGTACGGAGATCGTTCGACATCGACGGCCTGCGCATGAATGGATTAGTCGGGTTCGAGTAATAACCCGCATGTCTAGCACGCACCTCCTCCACACGCGCACGATGATCCTTGTGATGGGGCCCACCGGTTGTCGGGACAGGTGCACTATCCTGCGCCCTGGCTAAGCGGCGATGGCTCAATCGTAGACGGCGAGTGTCCCTGGGTTGGTAAGGACCGCGTCGAGGAAGGGGCCTTTGTGAACGTGCTGCGGGCTGGGTACCTGTCCGGGGAGTGGTTCCACATTTGCGGCACGAGTTGTTCGAACTTCGAAATCGTCTGTGACGTGTTGGTTGAGAGTTTCCTGGCTGCTCGTGGATGGCTGTGGGCGTGACGTTGTGCGCTGGCTGAGGCCGATGGATACCGTCGGATGCACGAGTGATAGTGACAGCGAAACGGGGACAAGCTGTATGCGGTGCTCTCGAGGCTTTCACGCCCTGCTCAGGCCCCGCCTGCCCGCTGCAGAAGCAGGTAAGCTGTGGCATGCCTGAGCGATACCTGTATAACAGTGTTTGGTGTGTCTACACGGTACTCACATCAGCTGCGAGAGCCCGCGTGTCGATGGCTTGGTGAGAGTCGAGTGGCGCAGGATTCTATCAGCGCAGGAATCCTGCTGACCAACGGTACATGGTGGCTTGCAGTGAGGGCCCATTGGTGTTCGTGAACACGTCAACCCATGGTGTCCGGCCGAGTCTGTTGCTGTCCGCCTATGCGATGTGGTGGTCATGTACATGCTCGGTGCACTGACAACGCGCGCGCGGCGCCGGGGGACCCCGAGACTAGGGTTAGTGGTGAATCGCCGAGGCGGGATGTCATGTTACAGCCCCGATCACTACTCTATGGACACCAACGCGCGCAACGCTGGTGCGTGAAGCACGGGCGCGGCGGGAAGCGTACAGTACTTGCACAGCCAGTGCAGCATCGGGAAGTGTGGAGGGGAAAACCGTCACACGTCGGACTCGGCGCCTACGGGCGTCATTGCACTGGGTACAATTGTTTTTTCTATTCGCTCGTCTCTCCAACTCGCTGAGTGCGTCTATTGGAAGACTCTGACCATACGGTTACCCTATGCTACTAACTTTATCAGCGCGCTTGCGACGAACCAGAAGGCTGCGACGCGGACCCGCAAGTAAGACGGGACGAGCGCCACGACGACGAGTTAAGTGCCGCACCTAGGGCGCGATTAGCAGATAGCACCGCGTGCGTGCTGCAAACCTCGTACCGAGACACGGGTCCGTTGCTCAACGCCGGAAGGGGACTCAAGGTACGTCCGTCGCCCAGAAGGGTGTTCATATGGCTGCAGTACGATGCTTTCCTTATTCGGTATCATTCCTTCCCGATCTGTCAACCACTCACGCGTCGCGCTTCTTTCGAACCGCCTCCCACTCGCCGACGTCTCTTTCTCGCTCTTCAGCTTTTACTACTAGTGCTAGTTGTTTTGTCTCTCCCTCTCGCTTCAATGGCTCGTGTCTCTTCGTGTGTCTTAGCACTGGGCAGCGTCGTCCTGACCGCTATCGAGTTTCTCTGCAGTTCTCTCATCTCGCAGTCCCGACTCCGGTACATTTGTGCGACGAGACCGTCGCGTGCGCAACACTATTCGAGGAGCAAGTCGAGCAGAACGTCGGTAAGTGTTCCTCTAGTTTCGGCGGTCTAACTACTCGTTACAGACCACCACCGTCGTCCTTCACCGAGCCCTACGTCCATCTCGACTAGTCGACATCCCGGCATCAGGACGAGCGCGCGTGTGTTGTTGGTGCTTGCCCTCGCCACGCACGCGTTCTTTCCGACAGCAGGGACTCGCGAATGCATATCAAGCAGGACTTCATCCCTCACGACGAGACGCCAGCCTACGCCGCGTCGCGACTCGGTGGCGGGGAATCATCGCCCTCAAGCCCAAATACTGCGAGCCCACGTCCCCGGCAACCCTCGAGTCTGGCGACCACCAGTCTTCTCCCCTCATCAACCTCCGCCCTCAGCAAACCTCGACCCCTCTGTCCGCCCTCCATCGTATGCGGCTCACACCGTTCGCGCTGTCCCGCCGTCAAGCATGGTCACCCCGTATGTGTCCACTATCACGCCGCCGACGGCCTACCTCACCGATCCGCTAAACGCATACGCGCACCTCAGCATGCCGAAGCCGTTCGTGCACTGGATCGGGCCACCTCTCGATGTCGCGCTCGATTCCCGTACTTCAAGCAACCTCGGCCGTCTCGTTCGCAGTAGGTGCCGCCCAAACGGTATCCTCTCTTCCGTCCCCGTCCCCATGCTCTCCGTCCTCTCCCTCGACGACCTCTCTCCCGAATGCCGCAGCCATAATGTTCTCAGTAGCCCGCCTCCACCGCACGCAAGCACTCTCCCTCGCATCCTCTTTCGCCGCGTCCTCGTCCAGCCGTGTCATGGCATTCCTCCCCACTGCCGCCATGTCATGATGTCCACCCTCTCGCGACGACCCTCCGACTACAACATCCTCCGACCGCAACATTTGTCCAAGCCGCTGCGACAGACACCCCCTGTGGTCATACCCTTCTAGAAGACGAATTCGAAAGAGCCGTCAAACCCGCTCTCCCCCGACGCGGCGTCGCTGCAGATGGTAGCGCGCCCGCCGTCCGCTCCGAAGGCCGAACGGCGCAAGCCGACCGTGAAGCCGACCGAGGCTGTCCTGCGTAGCCCCGGACCGCTCCACTCACGAGTCACGACCTGTACGCTGACAGACCGACGGCGTGCGGTGCGTCTGAGACACCCGGCACCGTGCAGCGGCTCTGCGCACTGCTGAAGGGGCCCATGCCTCAGCTCATACGGATAGGCGTGCGGAACAAGGGCTGCGCAGGGCTCTCGTACTACCTCGAATACGTCGACAAGCCGGGCAAGTTCGACGAGGTCGTCGAGCAGGACGGCGTGAAGGTCCTCATCGACAGCAAGGCACTCTTCTCTATCATCGGCAGTGAGATGGACTGGTCCGAGGACGCGCCCAGGTGCATTAGTCCCCCGTGTTCCCACCTGCGATCGTGCTCATCTCGCTCCGTATGTGCAGCACGAAGCTCGCGTTCAAGAACCCGAACATCAAGGACCCGTGCGGGTGCGGAGAGGCGTTCAGCGTCGGCTCGTGAGCGGGGCGCGCCGAGCCCGAGGTGTACGCTTACCACGTTCTCTATAGACTCCCCCGGATGATGCCTGTGCCACGCACGAGCTAATATCCCTGCTTCACCACATCTGTATTCATATATCACTACCCGGTAATACATTAGACGGTATTCGGACCGTACGCTTCTTCATCTCATGAAGCGCACTACGTTTGCATGCAAGTGGCGAGTCTGTCACGACGATGTTTTGATGGTGCCTACGCTTCGCTGTACTTACTGTTGTGTGCTCACAAGACCCCCATGTTGCGCGTAGAGGCACCAGGAGGTCACTTGACGACAGTCTCGCTCGACCCTCGACGTTCGTCGACGTCTTCTAGTGGTGGAAGACTTCGTTGAACTCAGCTGCGCTCCCCGTGACGGTGTTGTCCCCTCCCTGTGGCTCACGCGCTCGAGCCTAAGCTTAGTGAAACAAGCACGCTCGTAGAATTGACGGAAACTTGAAATCTAGAACAATCGATTGTCCGTCTCTAGCGCACACCCATACCGCCGTCCGTCCAATTCTTCAATATCCGAGAAATGATCATTTGCGATACAAACATAACTAAGTGGGCGCGAATTCTTCCTCCGACCATAGCGATGTATCGACCCACGTTGCGGCCGCGGGGCCATTCTGTACGTTCGGACCGCGCAACAAATTAGCAGAAAGGCCTCACGATGATGGTCCTATACTCACGAACTCCATGCGACGATACGAGCCAGGATGCAGGGTTGCAGGGATGTCAAAACGTGTTGCGTCGAAGACCCTTGGGCCGGAGGTGCACCTCCTCTCCAACGGTGTTCTTCTGTTCAGCTTGCATACTCTGATCATGTATGTCTTCCATGTCCTCCCTCCAGCTGTCGAGTTCTGGGAAGTTATACACAGTGCTTCAAGGGACACTCAGCTTTCCGTCGCGATTTGACCAATTCCGTAGTACTACGTACCTCAATATACTTCGTCCATGCGAGCGTGGCATCTTCCGCATGACGAGCTCGTCCAACCGATCGTACCGCTCTCGTAGTGCTGAACCCATCCCAGTATTGCCAGACGTCCAATTATTTTTAGTATCGGCAATGGCTATACAGAAGCCAGTACCGGAGAAGCGCTTCTCCTGCAGTGTACTGTCCAATCGCACCAGGACATCATCCTGCTCCATTGTCGTCAGCATTCCGTCCAGGTCTTCGGCCACGTGGTCCGCCCGACCCCATAGCACAACAGCCATAGCATGGAAGTGCTTCGAGACGATGCGAGATAGGATGTGCGGGATCCAGGGCCACTCTGCAAAGGGGTACCACAGGTAGATCTCCAACTTCCACAGCTGGTCGTGGTGTGAAAGGTTGTAATGTCGCTCTGTAGGCATGAAACAATCAGCGACGTGGCTCGAGAGCTAACTAGGAAGACCTGCCGACTGTGGCATCAATTGCATCGTCACGAACAGGAGAACTGGGATTGATATGGAGTCGAACCACTTCTGCAGATGTGGAACTCGCATCCAGCAAAGCCTGGCTTCTGCTGGCTGCCAAGGATGTATCCAACTCGCCGTCCACAGCGAGAACGCGCAGTCGAGAAGCCCAGCTGATCTGCACGAAGAGGTCTTCGACTGCTGGTGCAAACCATCGCACTTCGAGAACCTTCAGATTTGCACAGTTCAGGGGGAGAGAGGCCGGGGAGACGTGCTGTTTCTGCAAGCAGTCAACATTGAAGCACCATAATTTCCTAAGCCGCGGGAGTGCTGACACGAGGTGGCGAAGCTGGGCGGCGCTCGATAAGGTGACATTGCAAAGGTATACAGTGCCGACGTAGCTGAACACCCCTAGGACGCCAATGTCTTCCATTCGGACCGAGCCCATGGTCCACTCAGCATCTTCAATGGTGATCCTCGACAACCTCGGAGTCTTTCCCGCGAGCATAGCGGCAAACGTCCCCAGGTGCAGGATCGGTTGGCGCTCCCCGGGAGAACCACCTGATATGACGACCTGCTGAATGACCTCACGGAGGCGAGGCTTTGCACGGAGCGTCTTGGAGAGCGAGAGGACGTCCGTCCGGTCTCGTAGATGGATGCGTTGACGAAGATGGTACCACGTTAGGTAGTACCAGTCTTGGCATACGAGCGCGCAGGATGTGAGAGTGGTCAGATGTGGCTCGCCCTTTGCATCGACATAACTCATATCCCATCCCGCAGCTACGTAGTCGATGACCCGTTCACAGACCTCCACAGGGAGCCGCGAGATCGCAGGTCCGTGAGAAGAGCCCTCGGACGTCGATGCAGCTGTAGTACTATAATCCACATGTGTAAACCAAAGTACCTGCGTCTGGACAGTGGCACTTACATTGACTCTGCTCTATCCATTCCGTTGACGTGGGATGTGCGCTACGGCGACGTGACCGCGCTGTCGCACAGATGAGAATCTCCTGCCCGTGCGCGGCGACAGCAGACCCTCGACGGTGGAAACACGTTACTAATAGCCTCATCAGCTCAGACTGCGGCTCTCCAAGAACAGGCATAGTGCGATAGCACACTACCTGATGTCCGGTATGTACACTGGCTCCCAGACAAGCCAGATGCGCCGTCTTGGTCGTAGATTCGCGCGGTGTTGGCGCCCGTTGGTGGTCGCGACGCTACCAGGAAAGCACGGCGTCAGTAAAGAGAATCGCTGGCGAAAGCGGAGTCGTACCTCGTGAGGACTTCAAATGGCTCTTGGTCTGCGCTGCAACAACTCAGGCTTGAAGCTGGCCGAGGGGGAGAGCGCAGGGACAGCGAAGGCAACGATAAGTGGTATATATATGCATCGATACAACGTAGCGCGCGCTCGCCGGCGGGTATAGAAGCGTCGAACACAGACACACGACGTCGCAAGTGGTTCTTTGCTTCGAGTAAGTAGGGGCGGTGAGATCCAGACTGTCCGCAGCCATTGCGAGGATAGCCCTCTACGGCCTGGAGACTCTGCAAAGCAGTACTCATATCACTAATTTCATTCAGCGGCGATGCACGAGAAACACATACAGAGGACCACTCTCCTTGAATACAGTGCCGCACCTCGTTCTAGTGAGCGCGCGGCGCGAGGCAGGCTGTCCGAACCTTGATCTTGTTCAATGGGTGCTTATCGATAACCAAGGCGGACCACATAGACGTAGGCCGGTGACCGCCGTATGCATGCTGGGGGATACGCCGGTTACTTGCTGGCGGTAGGCATCGCGTTGTGTGACCTGGACATTTGACAATCATACAACGACACCTGGCGACCGAAAAGCTCTCCAGCGCTGGTGGCTACCGTCGACGTGCAGAGCTGAGAGCAGCGTGCGTCCTTTACAGGCATTCAAGTTACTATGTACATACAGTGCTGGCTCGCGCATTTGAGGTCCTGTCAGTGTCAGGGCCGGCCCGGATGCCCACCGCAGTGTTTGAATTTGAGCTCAGGCTCGCAACACAATCGACTTACAGCACCGTGACGCTCGACACGCCCACATTTGAAGAAATGTCACGATGCAATTGAATGGAAGTACTATAGGACTACACGACGGTCTACAGGATACACTAGTACATATGTATGTGCACGACGGGTAAGTAAGCAGAACAGCGGGTGTGCGTAGATGAGTGGGTTGTGTATCATGTATACAGCTGCCAGAACATGAATCAGGACCAGCGACAGCAACGAGGAACGGTGCGCATTATCCAGTCGGAACGAGCAGAGAGAAACACAGACAGGTCCCAGGAAACAGGCTCGATGACGGAATGGAATGATAGGCTCAGAGAAACAGTACGCGCGCATGACAGCAATCCACAGCGTGACGTCCAGGGCGCCGGTCAACGGTGGGGGAACGTAAGGGAGAGGGCAGGTTGCCTGATTGACTGCGGGATCCAGCGACAGCAATGAGCGAAACAAGGTGCGAGGGTGAAGGTCCGAGTGGGAAGCATGCGAGGGTAAAGCCCCGGGGGGCGAGTCGACATGAGGCAAAAGCCTCCTCAGGCTCAGGCTCAGACGGTGTCCATCCGCGACGTACGCTTGATGCTCGGTCGTTTCGTCAACATCGCCTCGCCCTGCACGCCCTCCTTGGGCAGCTCCGTCGGGCTCGCGCCCCGCTTCGTCCCGCCCGGCGACATCGACAGGTGCCCATCGATCGCCGCGTCCTCCCGCATGTAGTCAGAGATGCTGCGTTTCCGCGACACACCCCGCTCTCGCAGCGACGCACCCGAGCCCACGGAAGACACGGTCTCCGGTGAGTGCATAGGCCCGTCCATAAAGACGTCTTGACGGTCTGCGAGCAGTGCACCCCTGGCGTTTCGAGAACCCTCCGGCGACAAGCGACCCAGCTCCTCCGCCTTCCTCTCCTCGTCCACGATCATCAGCGTCCCCTCGATCACAGCGCGATACACGAACACGTATTGTCGCAAGCTCTGGCACAGGCTCATGCGCTGATCCCTCATGTCCTCGATCACCCGGCGGATAGGCTCGCCGTACATTGAGAGCAGCGGCGGTGACATGTCGGTGTGCAGGCGACGCGGCTGGGTATAGTCGAAGACGCGCCCGCGCTGGTACCGTCAGCCCTCGCCCTGGACAATGCCCTCCTCGTCCGTCAGCCCTCCCACAGGCGCAGTCCTGTCCGGACTCTTCGACGAGCGAGATTCGGCATGAGGCGAGCCCGCAGGGCGCACCGCCGACCTCCAGGACGACTACCGTGCGCCTCCACGTCCGACTGGCGCTAGGAACGACGCGCATGATCCGGGGCCCGTCCAAAGAAGGCTCACCGACAATCAAGGTGGACCACATAGCTTTGAACGTGGGATCGAGGCTGCGCAGGGTTCTGAACAGAGGAAGCGAACGCGAGGCCAATGTCGCATCCAATCCAGTACCAGCGAAGAGCGCGGGGCACGATCTGTATGTAGCTTCAGTTCTTTCGATCGCCGGGATGAGTGATACCTCGGCTCTGTGCGGTCGCGAGTCCAGAATGGCACTGCTCTTGCATGACCAGTCGTATGCGGGCCCTCGTACCTACCCAACATTACCTGTCTTCCGTATGCCCTACCGCATCCGCTCGGGCATCAACATGGTCGTGGAACACGCGACCACCCCGCTTGACATCGATGCTGTCGTGTCCTTGGTATGATCAATGTCCGTCTCGCGCACGCCTCGATGTCCTCTTCCGCGTGTCCAACTGCGCATCCAACAGAGTCATGCGTGATACGCACGTTGGTCAGGGACGACACTAAAAGGAAAGTCTACGTACATTTCAAGGGTGAAGGCGATGTAGCACAGGCGCACAATGGCCACATGACATCTCCATGACTGCGAAGACGACCTCAGCAATGTCATATGCGCTCAGCGGGACTGGACAGCATACCTGTTATCCGCTTATCCGATACATCGACTGACCTTGATTTGACACCGCCGATGTCAGGTACATAGGTAGGGTGGACGAAGGACTAAATGCGCATATGCGTGTATGTCACAGGCCTGTCGGACGCGAACGTGACATACCTAGAGCGGCTGGATGACACGTCGAACGCAGGCACGGCCGCAGTCAATCTTCGGCCGGACCAATCTGCGAAGGCGTTGTGCGGACAGGGCGGAAGTACGGCCGTAGGCGTGCGTCTGCGCAACGTTGTGGCTTTCTAACGATGGTCTGTGTGATGGACGCGGTTAACGAGAGTGTTCAGCTGCCAGTGTTCACAAAATGTCAGCAGCGATACTGCGCGGATAAAGGGCGAGGACTCACGGGATGAAGACAGCCTGCATGCTGTCAGAGTTTGTCGTCCGGGTATACGAAGCGTATAATGAACCCGCGAAGGCGCTGAGCTGCCAGATATCGCACCAGTATTGATACTAGTACAGGTCCATCTGTAGGAAAATGGCTTAAAGACAATAGGTACAGGTCAAAGACGTTCCAGTCGAGACGCACGCGGTGACATACCGTCACCTTAGGAAGAGGCGGACTGGTCTTCGGGTGGATGAAGCGCCGCACACTCGTAGGGCAAGCAGCAGTCGAGCACTGGCTTCGCCTGACGGCCGATCACTTATCAGTAGCAGCGCATCGTAGCAGAGCGGAGGAAAGGACGATGTTAAACGAGATAGAGGAAATGTCGCAGTGAGGCCGAGTACAGCTTGATCGAGAGCACGAGATGTCGACGGTTGGTCGACGGCCTGTTGTGCTGGCCGGCCTAAGAACGGCGAGCGGACTGTCCGCGCGCAACCCGATGCACAGGGACACCGTCCCAGAGGGAGCAGAACAGGTCGTCCCAGTCGCAGAAGTCGTCACCGAAAGAGAAGGCGCTCGCCGCTCCTGTCGATCGGCCCGCCTCCTCCGACATTTATCCGACCGGTCGACTCGCTGCCTGCTCGACGCTCGTCGTTGTTTTCGCCGCCCAGTCTGGCACGATCCATGACTTCCTCTGTGCACTATACGACCTCGAGGGTGGACCGCCCGCACTGTCCAGGAAGGTACCGACGCACTGGCCGTCTCCCGAGGCCCGACTTCCGCCCGGCGCAGCGCCATCTCCTTCCAGGCTACCAACGCTCGATATGTGCCCTTTCGCCCTGCGACCGCTTTGGCCGAACTCTCCACCAGTCCTAGCCACCCTGCTTTGTCACCGTGGCTCTCGTGCTCACTCATGACTGCCTTCCTGAAACATCCGCGTCTCAGGCTGGGCCTCCGACTGCCTCTTCGTCTTGACACCGTCCTACGACTCTGCTCGTCGTCACTGTGAGCGTTCACGAATGGTCAACACATCTACCGCAAGGTCACGGAAGTGGCCCTCCTCCGGGCTCATGAGTACACTGTCACGCGTTATGAAGCTCTATGTCTGTTCGTCCGGTGCGCGGGCAGTACCTGAAGGTAAGTGCCATCATACGGCTGTCAAATACTTGTGAGCAGCCACCGTTGAACATTGAGCAGATGCATTATCATTGCCATGCATTCCCAATAACGCTAGCGCATCCGTGCACACTTTCCCTTAGTTCTGCGGTACGTCGTCTCTTCGCATTGTCCGACTCAACTCGGTGGATCGTAGGCTTAAGTGTATGAGGTTTGGGGCTCCTATGAGACACAGCTGGTAGGCCCTCGCATTGCCTCGTCCCTCGCCTGACTCGCAGGGTGTGTCGGAAGACATCGACCGCAGATCACCAGGAGACGTTGGTCCACCTTTCGTTCAGTCCCGCCAGACCTTGTACTCGGCTTGTCGTGAGTGGGCGCGTTAATGGGTGTCCTTATAGCTGACGCGATGGTTGCCAGGTCTTTCGGAGTGAACCCCTCCTGGCGGGGCGGACTTGGCGGAGCGGACTTGGTCGCTCGCGGAATCATACGTCGTGGCTAAATGAAATCTCTCCCTATCACTGCTCCGTTCGTCCTCCCACTGGCCCCTTTTTTGCTTATCGGGTGCGCAACGTTATCACTACTGTACGTCATTTCAAGCCTTACAAAGGCACGATCACTATCCTGATTGACGTATCGCATTGGACGTGAGTGATAACAATGTACAATGCCATTTCATCGAGAATGCGATGTCCCTCCCATCGTGCCGTGGTATGTCACCATTTCGCGGGTCTTCCAGTGGCATTGGCGGTTACTGCAAGTGCGCTGATCACCGCCCGCAGACGTGAAACACATCCTTGCCTGTCCCGCCCTTGTCCCTCAGATTCTAGCTCGCCCGGGCTAGGGCTACGATCACCGAGCTGCGGCCCGCTGACATCAAAGGCTACGCGGTGATCTCCCCTTTCAATGCCCAGGTGCTGCGTCAGCAAGCCTCCCAAGAGGACCTGGCATGTTTGCGTGCACGCTGAACGGTCGTTGAAGGTATCCTCCCGACCTCTTCCTGTACCTGTGCGGCGGTGACAGCCCGAATTTATGACATCTTACCCGCAGCGCTACGATTGTCCTCGCCTGGCACTTATGATTATGAATGCCTGCCGCACCGACAGCTCACGCACGGATGCCAAGTCTCCACTGCCCGACTTTCCTGCACAGTTCAAGGGTGATCTGACACTCCCAAGAGCTCCGATCATGACGAGGCGATTGCGCGCTGGGCGATGAACGCGAAGCGCAATGCGAAGATCGTCGCTTCGTCAGGGATGTACAAGACATCTCGCTCGCAGTCCAGAACGCGCATTCACAGTCCAGTACGCACGTTCACATGGCCTTGAGATCGCTATCAAGGGCGGTGGTCACAACCCTGCATGCCCATCCTTCACCGCGAGGGCGGTCTCGTCATCATTGACCTGATTTAATACTTCAACTACGCCCGCGTTGACCCTGAGAGGAAGATCGGCTACGTTTCCGGCGGAGCGATCTGCGAGACCATCGACAAGGCCGCAACTGAGTATCATGGCCTTGCGACAGTCGGCGGTACGGTCAACGATGTATGTTTCGTTAATATCCGCATAGTATGACTACGCGTCCGCTGATGCTCAACATGGCGGTATAGCCGGCCTGACCCTCGGCGGAGGCTGCGGCTACCTGTCGCCGTCTCACGGAATCGCCCTCGACGACGTCCTCAAAGTGAGTCTCGTTCAGCTTTATGCTGCACGTATCCTCATGTGTTCCTAGGCCACCGTTGTCCTCGCTGATGGACCGGTCGTAAAGACAGAGAACACCGATCTATGTTGGGGCATCCGCGATGGCGAGTCGAACTCCGGCGTCGTCTCTGATCTCGGTTTCTACTAGCTCTACAACCAGCGCTGAACCGACTTCGCTGCGTCGCAATATACGACCGTAGTTAGCTCAAGGTTCTAACCGAGGTCACTGCGCAGTAGTGGGACCGCCGTGACCCGGGCGACAAGTCCTTGCAGATCCAGACAGTAGTCGTTGGGCCCAACGGCAAGCCTGCATGGTCATCATCTTCTACACCGGTTCAGAGGCCGAGGGGCGAGCGTTCTACAAGAATTTCGTTGGCATCGATCACATCTGAGGTTGCCAACGCGCTGCAGGTGTTGTTCTTCCAGCCCCCTGTTGCCCGTATTGACATTCATCTAACGTGTCTCACAGAATCCGGTCGCATACCACGGTCAGGGTGTCTTAGAAAGGCGTCGCGCATCGCAAGCCCGAATACGAGACCGCGCTCAAGTCGTTGGACTGCGTCGCCAAGCTCACCGCCTGGCCGCGCCCGAACCCGATGGCCACAGTTGAGCACTTCCCGCTCCACCAGACCGTTGCCAAAGACAGCGATGAATCCCCATTTCGCCGTGACCCGTCCTGTCCGTGCTCGTCAACGCCCTTTGGGTCGAGGATACGCTGGAACACCTGAAGCGCGGTCGCAAGAATGAATACCATGGCGGCGAGTTCCTTTCTCTTTGGCATCTGTATCTGGTAGGAGAGGACTGCGCGCACATGCAGGACCCCGCATACGCCGGCTGCTTCTAGGGTTGACGGAGCTTGGGGCGAGGAAGCGACTGGAAGAGCTGGAAGATGACTACTAGCCCTGGCGCAGCAACCGGCTCTTGAGATTGATTTGCAGGTAGGCTTTCGCCTCGTCTGCCTATGCCTCTGACCCGTCTCACGATTGCGGCCACAGTGCACCAGCCGTCTCTTTGGACCTCATGAGCCGTCCAAGGCTTGTCCGCGATCGTTCGCGGCTCTTTGTTCCCGTAGTGCCTCGTGTGGATCCGAATACACTTCCGTCACGCTCACGCGCCAGTCGCACCGTTGTGGCATCATGAAGGTCCTCGGAGGAGAAACATCGGAGGCCATGTAGAACGCTTCATGACAGTGTTTACGGTCATGAATGGCGGTGAGAGAGCCAAGGAATTTGTGTATACACTTTCTGTATTCTCGACGAACAGCATGGAGCGATCGTTTCGGTACGTACACAAGGCCACGACACGCGCGTATATCACTGGGTAAATACATGTTGCCACTCGTCCGCAACCTCCGCGGCATGATCAGTCTCGCCGAATGACATAGAGCGCGTGAGCTATATTGCTCAGGCCGAACTCCTCGCGGATGGCAGAGAGGACTTGCGGTCAGCAACGAGTTTTCCTGCACCTCTCAGTCGTCCCGGAGAAGTTGATATGTGCCGCATATGGTGGTTTTGCGCGAAGAAGCGTGCTATGAAATCCGGTAGATCCTCATCAGGAATGGCAGGGAGTCTTCGCAGACGCGTCGGCAGCAGCGGCCCTGAACCTGGAGGCCACCGACACTCACCACTGGAGATGACGATTGCGTCGACGACCCCGCCTGCTCGATCGGCTTCGCGTCGTCCAGCGCCTTGGCAGGAACGTTGTCCGATTCGTATACGGCCCCGGCACGTTCTCGGGCACGACCTACACCCAGATCACGGTTCAGCAGGGTGCCCACACGCGTGGACAGGCGGGGCCACTCACGCGGTGCTATAGTTGCAGATGTCGTCGACGGTGCGCGTCAGGTCCATCCGGCGCACTTGCCTGCCGCCTGCGCCCGGCTGGCTCTGCCAGTGGTTGACCTCGAAGTGCGTGTGGATGCTGTCCGCCGTGTGCGCACAAACTTTACCACCGGTACCTTCGCTCGTAGGCTGTGAGCATGACACCTGGCGGCTGAACGCAGCCTGGGGAGGTCGTGAGAGGTGCGATGCATTTCGCCAGGGCAGATAACTTACTGGGACGAGGTTCATGCGCGCTGAACACGCCACCTGCATGCTGCGTCAGGTAGCTCCGATGGTTATAGCGTGTGAGGATGAGTTGAATCCGTAAACAGAAAGTAAGCGGCGAGCGGGTGGAGGAGAAAGGCCAGAATCAGGAGATTGCCTTGGACGGCGCGCACCGTTCTCGCCTGGTCTCGCCGTTTGCGAGCGGTCCGAGGTCGCGGCAGGCAAAACCCCAGCGTCGCTGTTCCAGTCGCGCGCAATCGCAGCGTGCCCAGTCGTGCACGCAGCCCGACAATTGAAGCTCGTTGTCAGGCGCGCAGGCTCGCGGTGGACACGAGGTGGGACTCGGGCAGACCTCAGAAGAGCGCGCACCTGCACGAGAAGCGCACAGCGGCCGGATTCGCCACGAGCATCCGCATCGGCGTTCTTCGCGATCTGCGAAGACTTGGGGCGAGAAGAGAGACCGCGCGTCAGGGCTTGGCCAGGCAGGATATTAGGGGAAGTGACGCTTGATCGTGGGCGGGTGGCGGGGACGCTCGAAAGGAACGTTACTCTGCGCGACAGCAGTGCGGCGTCGCACAGAATGCCAATCAGAGTTGAAGCTTCCTCGCGCGCCTGCTTGGGATGATGTCCGCGCCGCTCGCGCTGCCGTCCGGGAGGGCCGCCGACTTCTCTCCGCCGATCTTCTTCCGCCAGGAGGGCCACCGTGATGGGCGAGTCGAGAGGGGGAAATTGCGAGGCAGAGAGGTCGGTGCCCTCTGGATGCGACCACCCGGCCCGAAGCCAACGCGAACATCGACAGAAGGCACCGCATAGTCTCACTGCGGTGCGGTGGAGAAGTAGGAGGGCGCTGGGCGCGAGCGAGATCGACGTGCGTTGGGAGATGCGCGGCATGCGGTTGCCAATGAAACCGCCTCGAAGATAAGCGTGCGCGAGCTTCCGAGAGTGTTCGCATTGATGCCACGACTTGATCTTTCGAGCGAGATTGGCACCGTGCGCGGCGCGCCCTCGCACACGGGCGATGGGTAGTTTGGCAGCAGGGACCGCAGGAGAGAGTGTTCCGTGCGCGGGAGCCCAGCGCGTTACATCGCGCGTATGGGTTGAGTGCGTATGGAGATCGTTCGACATCGACGGCCTGCGCATGATTGGGTAGCCGGGTTCGAGTAAAGCCGCATGTCTGGCACACACCTCCCCACGCGCTCCTTGTGATGGGCCCGCTGGTTGTCGGGGCAGGTGCGCTACCCAGCGCCCTAGCAAGCGACGAGGCTCAATCGTAGACGGCGAGTGTCCTGGCTGGTAAGACCGCGTCGAGGAAGGGCCTCTGTGAGCTTGCTGCGGACTGGTACCTGTCCAGGGAGTGCGTCCGATTTGTGGCACGAGTTGTTCGAACTCGTCTGTGACGTGTCGGTTGGAGTTTCCTAGCTGCTCGTGGATAGCTGTGGGCGGACGTTGGAGCTGACTGAGATAGAAGTCGTTGAATGCACGGGTGAGAGTACGAGTGACAGGGACAAGCTGTATGCGGAGTTCTCGAGGTTTCACGCCGTGCTCAAGCCCCGCCTGCCCGCTGCGGAAGCAGCTAAGCTGTGGCAAAGTTGAGCAACACCTGTATACAGTGTTTGGCGTGTCTACACGGAGCAACTCACGTCTGCTGCTCGAGTCGGCGTGTCGATGTGTTGGCGAGAGTGGCACGAGGATTCTCTCGGCGGTGGAATCTTGCTGACCAACGGTACATGGTGGCTTGCAGCGGTGACGGCCGATTGATGTTCGTGAACACGTACGTCGAGTCCACTGCTGTCCGCCGATGCGATGTCGTGGTCGTGCACATACTCGGTGTGACAATACGCGCTCGACGCGCGCGCGGCGTCGGGGGACCCCCAGACTGGGGTTAGCGGCGCCCCTTGAGGCGGGATGTCATTTGTGTGTACGGAATCATCCGATCACTACTCTATGAACACCAACGCTGGTTCGTGAAGCGTTCAACGCCAATGTTTCAACGCTGGAGGGGGAATCAACCAACGTCCGTCACCCAGAAGGTTGCCCATGTGGCGGCTATGCAATACTTTCCTTATTGGGTATCATTCCTTCCCGATCCGTCAACCACTCACGCGCCGCGCTTCTTTCGAACCGCCTCCCACTCGCCGACGTCTCTTCTGCTAGTCTCTCACTCTCGCTTACATGCTCATGTCTCTTCGTGTGTATTGATACTGGGCCGCGTCAGGCCGTGTCGCCATGATCCCTATCGCAGTCCCGACTCGGGCCCATTGGTGCGACGAGACGGTCGCGACGCTCGCCGGCTTGTATGGTCTGCAACGGAGACTAGACGGTCGGCGGTCGCGTGTGCAACACTAGTCGAGTAGCAAGTCGAGCAGAACGAGTCGGGTCGAGTCGCGTACCGATATCAGTAAGTGTTCCTCTGGTTTCGGCGGACTAACTACTCGTTACAGACCACCACCGTCGTCCTTCACCAAGCCCGGGCCCTACGTCCATCTCGACTGCTCAACCTCCCTGCATCAGGACGAGCGCGCGCGTTTCTTTTTGTTTTTGTCGTCGCCACGCACACATTCTCCACGACAGCAGGGACACGCGAGTGCATATCAACCAGGACATCTGCATCAACCTCCGGCGGCGTCTGCCCTCAGCAAACCTCGAGCGCAACGTTGGGAGATGGCCCGGTCAAGTGCACGAATGGTTACGGTGTGATGAGGTGCGCGTGCGTTGTGCACATTCGTCGACGGCGCGATAGTGGGCACACACGGGGTGATCCTGCTCGACGACGGGATAGCGCGAGCGGTGTGAGCCGCATATGATGGAGGGCGGACAAAGGGGTCGATTCCCGTACTTCCGGCAACCTCGATCGCCTCGTTCGCAGTACGTGCCGCACAACCGCTATCCTCCGACACCGCTCTTCTGTTCCCCGTCCCCATGCTCGTCGTCCTCTCCCTCGACGACCTCTCACCCTAACGCTGCAGCCATGACGTCCGCAGTTGCTCGCCTCCACCGCACACAAGCACTCTCCCTCGCGTCCTCGTCCAGCCGTGTCATGACGTACGTTCCTCCCCACCGCCGCCATGCCACGATGTCCACCTTCTCGCGACGACCCGCCGACTACAACATCCTCCGACCGCAACATCCGTCCAAGCTGCTGGGACAGACACCCCCTGTGATCATTCCCTTCTAGAAGGCGAAGGCGAACGAGCCGTCGACAAACGCGGCGTCGCCGCAAGTAGCAACGCGCCCGCCGCCCGCTCCGAAGGCCGAGCGGCGCAAGCCCACTATCACACCGGCCGAAGCTGTCGTGCGTAGCCCCGGACCCCTCTAGTCACGACCTGTACGAGACCAACGACGTGCGGTGCGTCTGAGACACCCGGCGCTGTGCAGCGGCTCTGCGCACTGCTCAAGGCGCCCACACCCCAGCTCATACAGATATGCGTGCGGAACAAGGGCTGCGCAGGGCTCTCGTACCACCTCGAGTACCTCGCCAAGCCCGGCAAGTTCGACGAGGTGGTCGAGCAGGACGGCGTGAACGTCCGCATCCTCATCGACAGCAAGGCGCTCTTCTCCATCATCGGAAGGGAGATGGACTGGTACGAGGACGCACCCAGGTGCGTTATTTATCCGTACTTTCTCCTGTGATCGCGCTCATCTGGCCCGGTATGCGTAGCGCGAAGTTCGTGTTCAAGAACCAGAACATCAAGGACCCTTGCGGGTGCGGAGAGTCGTTCAGCGTCGGCTCGTGTGCGGCGCGAGGTGTACGCTGACCACGTTCTTTATATCCCCCGGATGATGCCTGCGCGCACGAGCTAATATCGGCCTGCTTCACCACATCTGTGTTAATATATTTCTACCCGGTGATATACTAGACAGTATTCGAACCGTAAGCTTCACCGTCTCAGGCTCATGAGGCGCGATATTGTTGCATGCAAGTAGGGAGTCTGAACGACGCTTGGTTAGTACCTACGCTTCGCTGTGTTGCCACAATGCCTGCATGTTTTGCGTCGAGACACCAGGAGGTCATGACGACATTCTCGCTCGAGCCTCAACGTTCGTCAACGTCATCTGGAGGTGGAAGACTTCGGTGAACTTAGTTGGATTCTCCGTGTTGTCCTCTCCCTGCGCTCAGGCTTAAGGTTCATTAAATACGGTCCCAGTATCGACGGGGGCCTGGTGTCTGGGGCAATCGAATGTCTGTCTCGATCACAGCAGCCATACTGCCGTCAGTCCAGTCTTTGAATTCAATTCCCCATGTAGCATAAGTGGGCGCGAATTCTTTACCCGACAACAGCAACATGTCGACCCGCGGCCGCGGGGCCATTCTGTACGTTGGGACCGCGCAACAAATTAGCAGAAAGGCCTCACGATGATGGTCCTAAGGCTACTCACGAACTCCATGCGACGATACGAGCCAGGATGAAGGGTTGCAAGGATGTTAGTCCGTGCTGCCTTGAGGACCTTTGGCTAGGGGGTGCGCATCCTCCCCAGCGGTGTTCTTCTGTTCAGCTTGCATACTCTGACGATGTATCTCTTCCATGTCCTGGATCCAGCTGATGAATTCTAGGAAGTTATGCACAGTGCTCCGAGGGACTCTCAGCTTTCCTTCGCGATTTGACCAACTCCATAGTACTACATACCTCAATATACCTCGTCCATGCGAGTGTGGCATCTTCCGCCTGACGAGCTCGTCCCACCGATCGTATCGTTCTCGTTTTGCTGAACCCATCCCACTAAGCTCAGTGCCAGACATCCAAAGGGTTTCTTCGTCGTGAATGCCTATACAGAAGCCACGCGACGCAATAGTACCAGAGAAGCGCTTCTCCTGCAGTGTATAGTCCAATCGCACCAGGACATCATCCTGCTCCATTGTCGTCAGCAGTCCGTCCAGGTCTTCGGCCATCTGGTCTATCAGAAGATATAACACAATGGCCATAGCTTGGAAGTGTTTCGAGACGATGCGAGACAGGATGTGCGGGATCCATAGCCAGTCTGCAAAGGGGTACCACAGGTGGATATCCAACCTCCGCAGGTGGTCGTGGTGTGACAGGTTGCAATGTCGCTCTGTAGGCATGAAACAATCAGCGAAGTGGCTCAAGAGATAAGTAGGAAAACCTGCCGACTGTGGCATCAATTGCATCATCACGAACAGGAGAACTGAGGGCAATATGGAGCTGAACTAATTCTGCAGACGTGGAACTCGCATCCAGCATAGTCTGGCTTCTGCTGGCTGCCGAGGATGCATTCACCTCGTTGGGCACCCCAAGTTCGAGAATGCGCACTCGAGAAGCCCGGCTGATGTGCACAAAGACGTCTTCGACTGCTGGTGCAACCCATCGCACGTCGAGATGCTCCAGATTTGCACAGTTCAGGGGGAGAGAGGCCGGGGAGACGTGCTGTTTCTGCAAGCAGTCAACCTCGAAGCACCATAATTTCCTAAGCCGCGGGAGTGCTGAAACGAGGTGGGACAGCTGGGCGACGCTCGACAAGGTGACCTTGGAGATGTTTAGAGTGTCGATGTAGCTGAACACCCCTAGGAAGCCGATATCCTCCATTCGGACCGAGCCGATGGTCCACTCAGCATCTTCAATGGTGATCCTCGACAACCTCGGAGCCTTGCCCGCGAGCATAGCGGCAAACGTCCCCAGGTGCGGGATTGCTTGACGCTTCCCGGGAGAAGCACCCGATATGACGACCTGTTGAATGACCTCACGGAGGCGAGGTTTTGCGCGGAGCGTCTTGGAGAGCGAGAGGACGTCCGTCCGGTCTCGTAGATGGATGCGTTGACGAAGATGGTACCACGTCAGGAAGTACCAGTCCTGGCATACGAGCGCGCAGGATGTGAGAGTGGTCAGATGTGGCTCGCCCTTTGCAATAGGATAACCCGTATCCCATCCCGCAGCCACGTAGTCGATGATCCGTTCACAGACCTCCACAGGAAGCCGTGGGATCGCAGGTCCGTGAGAGGAGCCCTCGGATGTTGATACAGCTGTAGTACTGTAACCCACATGTGTAAACTAAAGTACCTGCATCTGGACAGTGGCACTTACATTGACTCTGCTCTATCCATTCCGTTGACGTGGGATGTGCGCTACGGCGACGTGACCGCGCTGTCGCACAGATGAGAATCTCCTGCCCGTGCGCGGCGACAGCAGACCCTCGACGGTGGAAACACGTTACTAATAACCTCATCATCTCAGACTGCGGCTCTCCAAGAACAAACATAGTGCGATAGCACACTACCTGATGTCCGGTATGTACACTGGCTCCCAGACAAGCCAGATGCGCCGTCTTGGTCGTCGATTCGCGCGGTGCTGGCACCCGTTGATGGTCGCGACGCTAAAAGGCAAGCACGGTGTCAGTAAAGATATCCGTTGGCGAAGGCGGAGTCATACTTTGTGAGGACTTCAAATGGCTCTTGGTCTGCGTTGCAAGAACTCAGGCTTGAAGCTGGACGAGGGGGAGGGCACGGGGGCAGCGAAGGCGATGATAACTGGTATATATGCATCGATGCAACGTAGCGCGCGCTCGCCGGCGGGTATAGAAGCGTCGAACACAGACACACGCCGTCGCAAGTGGTTCTTTGCTTCGAGTAAGTAGGCGCGGTGAGATCCAGACTGTCCGCAGTCATTGCGAGGATAGCCCTCTACGGCCTGGAGACTCTGCAAAGCAGTACTCATGTCACTGATTTCATCCAGCGGCGATGCACGAGAAACACATACAGAGGACCACTCTCCTTGAATACAGTGCCGCACCTCGTTCTAGTGAGCGCGCGGCGCGAGGCAGGCTGTCCGAACCTTGAGCTTCTTCAATGGGTGCCTATCGATAACCAAGGCGGACCACATAGACGTAGGCCGGTGACCGCCGTATGCATGCTGGGGGATACGCCGGTTACTTGCCGGCGGTAGGCATCGCGTTGTGTGACCTGGACATTTGACAATCATACAACGACACCTGGCGACCGAAAAGCTCTCCAGCGCTGGTGGCTACCGTCGACGTGCAGAGCTGAGAGCAGCGTGCGTCCTTTACAGGCATTCAAGTTACTATGTACATACAGTGCTGGCTCGCGCATTTGAGGTCCTGTCAGTGTCAGGGCCGGCCCGGATGCCCACCGCAGTGTTTGAATCTGAGCTCATGATCAGGCTCGCAATCGGCGCAACACAATCGACTTACAGCACCGTGACGCTCGACACGCCCACATCCGAAGAAATGTCACGATGCAATTGAATGGAAATACTATAAGACTACACGACGGTCTACAGGATACAGTAGTACATATGTATGTGCGCGGTGGGTAAGTAAGCAGAACAGCGGGTGTGCGTAGATGAGTGGGTTGTGTATCATATGTATACAGCTGCCAGAACATGAATCAGGACCAGCGACAGCAACGAGAAACGGTGCGCATTATCCAGTCGGAACGGGCAGAGAGAGGCAGACAGGTCCCAGGAAACAGGCTCGATGACGGAATGGAATGATAGGCTCAGAGAAACAGTACGCGCGCATGACAGCAATCCACAGCGTGACGTCCAGGGCGCCGGTCAACGGTGGGGGAACGTAAGGGAGGGGGCAGGTGGCCTGATTGAATGCGGGATCCAGCGACAGCAATGACCGAAACAAGGTGCGAGGGTGAAGGTCCGAGAGGGAAGCACGCGAGGTAAAGCCCCCGGGGGGCGAGTCGGCATGAGGCACAAAGCCTCTTCAGGCTCAGACGGTGTCCATCCGCGACGTACGCTTGATGCTCGGTCGTTTCGTCAACATCGCCTCGCCCTGCACGCCCTCCTTGGGCAGCTCCGTCGGGCTCGCGCCCCGCTTCGTCCCGCCCGGCGACATCGACAGATGCCCATCGACCGCGGCGTCCTCCCGCATGTAGGCAGAGATGCTGCGTTTCCGCGACACACCCCGCTCTCGCAGCGACGCACCCGAGCCCACGGAAGACAGGGTCTCCAGTGAGTGCATGGGCCCGTCCATAGGGACGTCTTGACGGTCTGCGAGCAGCGCACCCTTGACGTTTCGAGAACCCTGCGGTGACAAACGACCCAGCTCCTCCGCCTTCCTCTCCTCGTCCACGATCATCAGCGTCCCTTCGACCACAGCGCGATACACGAACACGTATTGCCGCAAGCTCTGGCACAGGCTCATGCGCTGCTCCCTCATGTCCTCGATCACCCGGCGGATAGGCTCGTCGTACGTCGAGAGCAGCGGCGGCGACATGTCGGTGTGCAGGCGACGCGGCTGGGTATAGTCGAAGACGCGCCCGCGCTGGTACTGCGAGCCCTCGCCTTGGACAGTGCCCTCCTCGTCCGCTAGCCCTCCCGCAGGTGCAATCGTGTCCAGACTCTTCGACGAGCGAGATTCGGCGTAGGGAGGCGAGTCCGCAGGGCGCACCGCCGACCTCCAGGTGTCAAGACGACTAACGTGCGCCTCCACGTCCGACTGGCGCTGGGAACGACGCGCATGATCCGGGGCCCGTCCAAAGAAGGCTCACCGACAACCGCATAGCTTTGAACGTGGGATCGAGGCTGCGCAGGGTTCTGAACAGAGGAAAACGAACGCGGGGCCAATGTCGCAATCCAGTCCAGTACCAGCGAATAGCGCTGGGCAGGATCTGTATGTAGCTGCAGTTCTTTCGATGGCCGGGATGAGTGATACCTCGGCTCTGTGCGGTCGCGAGTCCAGAATGGCGCTGCTCTTGCATGACCAGTCGTATGCGGGCCCTCGTACTTGTCCAACATTACCTGTCTTCTGTATGCCCTGCTGCATCCGCTCGGGCATCAACATGGTCGTGGAACACGCGACCACCCCGCTTGACATCGATGCTGTCGTGTCCTCGGTGTGATCAATGACCGTCTTGCGCACGCTTCAATGACCTCTTCTGCGTGTCCAACTGCATATCCAACAAAGTCATGCGTGATACGCACGTTGGTCAGGGACGACACTAAAAGGAATATCTACGTACATTTCAAGGGTGAAGGCGATGTAGCACAGGCGCACAATGGCCACATGACATCTCCATGACTGCGAAGACGACCTCAGCAATGCCATATACGCTCAGCGGGACTGGACAGCATACCTGTAATCCGCTTATCCGATACATCGACTGACCTTGATTTGACACCGCCGATGTCAGGTACATAGGTAGGGTGGACGAAGGACTAAATGCGCATATGTGTGTATGTCAGACAGGCCTGTCGGACGCGAACGTGACATACCTAGAGCGGCTGGATGACACGTCGAACGCAGGCACGGCCGCAATCAATCTTCGGCCGGACCAATGTGCGAAGGCGTTGTGCGGACAGGGCGGAAGTACGGCCAGGCGTGCGTCTGCGCAACGTTGTGGCTTTCTAACGATGGTCTGTGTGATGGACGCGGTTAACGAGAGTGTTCAGCTGCCAGTGTTCACAAAATGTCAGCAGCGATACTGCGCGGATAAAGGGCGAGGACTCACGGGATGAAGACAGCCTGCATGCTGTCAGAGTTTGTCGTCCGGGTATACGAAGCGTATAATGAACCCGCGAAGGCGCTGAGCTGCCAGATATCGCACCAGTATTGATACTAGTACAGGTCCATCTGTAGGAAAATGGCTTAAAGACAATAGGTACAGGTCAAAGACGTTCCAGTCCAGACGCACGCGGTGACATACCGTCAGCTTAAGCTTAGGAAGAGGCGGACTGGTCTTCGGGTGGATGAAGCGCCGCACACTCGTAGGGCAAGCAGCAGTCGAGCACTGGCTTCGCCTGACGGCCGATCACTTATCAGTAGCAGCGCATCGTAGCAGAGCGGAGGAAAGGACGATGTTAAACGAGATAGAGGAAATGTCGCAGTGAGGCCGAGTACAGCTTGATCGAGAGCACGAGATGTCGACGGTTGGTCGACGGCCTGTCGTGCTGGCCGGGCCAAGAACGGCGAGCGGACTGTCCGCGCGCAATCCGATGCACAGGGACACCGTCTCAGCGTACGCAGAGAGCAGGTCGTCCCAGTCGCAGACGTCGCCGCCGAAAGACTCAAAGAGAGAGCACTCGCCGCTCCTGCCAGTCACCGGCCCTATCGATCCGCCCGCCTTCTCCGACATTTATCCGACCGGTCGACTCGCTGCCTGCTCGACGCTCGTCGTTGTTTTCACCGCCCAGTCTGGCACGATGCATGAATCCTGCCTCTGTGCACTGCGACCGTCGAGGGTGGACCGCCCGCACTGTCCAGGAAGGTACCGACGCACTGGCCGCCTCCGAGGCCTGACTTCCGCCCGTCGCAGCGCCATCTCCCTCCAGGCCACCATTGCTGGATACGTGCCCTTTCGCCCCGCGACCTCTTTGGCCGAACTCTCCACCATCCTAGCTACCCTGCCTTGTCACCGTGGCTCTCGTGCTCATTCACGGCTGCCTTCCTGACACATCAGCGTCTCAGGCTGGGCCTCCGTCTGCCTGTTCGTCTCGACACCGTCCTACAACTCTGCTCGTCGTCACTGAGCGTTCACGAGTAGTCAGTACAACCACCGCAGGGTCACGGAAGTGGACCTCCTCTGGGCTCATGAGTACACTGTCACGCGCTATGAAGCTGCATGCCTGTTCGTCCGGTGCGCGGGCAGTACCTGAAGGTAAGTGCCATCATACGGCTGCCTAGCACCGTTGAACGTTGAGCAGATGCATTATAATTGCCATACATTCCAAACAACGCTAGCGCATCCATGCACACCGTTCTCTAGGTACGCCGTCTCTTCGTATTGTCCGACTCAACTCGGTGCATCGTATGCTTACTGAGTATACGGGGTTTGGATCTCCTATGACACACGACTCGTAGGCCCCTGGCATTACCTCGTCCCTCGCCTGACTCGCGGGGTCTCTCGGAAGACATCGGCCGCAGAACACCAGGAAACTTTGGTCCATCTCGCTCCCACCCTTTGTTCAATCCCGCCAGACCTTGTACTCGGTTCGTCGTGAGTGGGCGCGTTAATGGGTGTCCTTATGGCTGATGCAATGGTTGGCAGGTCTTTCGGAGTGAACCCCTCCTGGCGGACCGGACTTGGTCGCTCGCGGAATCATACGTCGTGGCTAAATGAAATCTCTTCACGTCGCTGGTCCGTTCGTCCTCCCACTGCTTTGTTTGCTTATCGGGTGTGCATTCTTCGTCGCCACTGTATGTCATTTCGAGTGCAATCAACAATCGATCCCTATCCCGGACAATGTATCGCATTGGACGCGAATGGCAACAATCTACAATGCCATTTCATCGAGAACGCGATGTCCCTCCCATCGTGCCGTGGTATGTCACCATTTCGCGGATCTTCCAGTGGCATTGGCGGTTACTGCAAGTGCGCTCATAGCAGCCCGTAGACGTGCAATACATTCTTGCTTGTCCTGCCCTTGTCCCTCAGATTCTAGCTCGCTAGCCGCTGCATCAGCAAGCCTCCCAAGACGATCTGGCATGTTTGCGTGCATGCTGCACGGTTGTTGAAAATATCCTCCCGACCTCTTACCGCACCTGTGCGGCGGTGACAGCCCGAATTTCTGACACCTTGCCCGCAGCGCTACGATGGTCTTCGCCTGGCACCTTTGATTATAATTGCCTGCTGCACCGACAGTTTCCTCGGCTCACGCACGGTTGCCATGTCTCCGGCGCTGCTCGACTGTCCTGCAGAGTTCAAGGGTGATCTCATACTCACGAGAGCTCTGATCACAACGTGATTGCGTGCTCGGCGATGAACGCGAAGCGCAATGCGAAGATCGTCGCTTCGTCAGGGATGTACAAGACATCTCGCAGTCCAGTACGCGCGTTCACATGGTCTCGAGATCGCTATCGAGGGCAGTGGTCGCAGCCCTGTAGGCACATCCTTCACCGAGGGCCACTGCCCTCAGCCGCTAATTCAACTACGCCCGCGTCGACCCTGAGAGGAAGATCGGCTACGTTTCAGGCGGAGCGATCTGCGAGACCATCGACAAGGCCGCAACTGAGCATCATGGCTTTGCGACAGTCGGCGGTACGTATGTTTCGTTACTTTCCGCGTAGTATGACTACGCGTTCACTGATGCCTGACATAGACTGATGTAGCTGGCCTGATCATCGGCGGAGGCTACGGCTACCTGTCGCCGTCTCACGGAATCGCTCTCGACAACGTCCTCGAGGTAGGTCTCATTCAGCTTTATGCTGCACGTATCCTCACATGTTCCTAGGCCACCACTGTCCTCGCTTGGCCGTCAAGGCGAGCAAGATAGAACCCGAGCTATTCTGGGGCATCCGCGGTGGTGGGTCCAACTCCGGTGTCGTCTCTGGTCTCGGTTTCCAGCTCTACGACCAGCGCCGAACCGTCTTCGTTACGTCGCAATCTACGACCGTAATCAGCTCTAGGCGCTGACCGAGGTCACTGCGGAGTGGTGGGACGACCCGGGCGACAAGTCCTCGCAGATCCAGACAGCAGTCGTTGGGCCTAATGGCAAGCCTGTCGTGGCCGCCCCAACCTTCTGCGACGGCTCCGAGGCGGAGGGCCGAGCGTTCTACAAGATGTTCGTTGGCATTGATCCCATCTGAGGTTGCCAACGCGCTGCAGGTGCCGTTCTTTCAGCTCTTGTTGCCCGTATGGTCATTCATCTAACGCAGTGCCTCACATAACCCGGTCGCATACCACGGTCGTCGTCGGTCACGGTGTCTATCATAAAAGGTACCGCGCATCGCAAGCCCGAATACGAGACCGTGTTCAAGGCGTTAGATCGTGCCGCCGAGCCCATCGCCTGCCCGGGTCTGAACCCGATGGCCACATTGAGGCACTTCCCGCTCCACCAGATCGTCGCCCAAGACAGCGAGGAATCCCCATTCCGCCGTGACTCCGTCCTGTCCGTGCTCGTCAACGCGCTGTGGGTCGAGGATACGCCGGAAGATTTGAAGCGCGGTCGCAACAATGAACACCGTTGCGGCGAGTTTCTTTCTATTTGGCATCTATTTCTGGTAGGTCAGGACTGCGCCCACATGCAGGATCCCGCGTACGCCGGCCACTTCGAGGGGTTGACGGAGCCTGGGGCGAGGAAGCGACTGGAACAGCTGGAAGAGGACTACTAGCCCTGGCGCAGCAACCGGCTCTTGAGATAGTTTTGCAAGATAGGCTTTCGCCTCGTCTGCCTATGCCTCTGACCCGTCTCACGATTGCGACCACAGTGTATCCCAGTCGTCCCTTTGGAACCTCCATGGGCCGTCCAAGGCTTGTCCGCGATCGTTCGCGGCTCTTTGTTCCCGTGCGGGACTACGTGGTGTCTCGTGTGGATGCGAGTACACTTCTGTCACGCTCACGCGCCAGTCGCACCGTTGTGCGCGTCATGAAGGTCCTCGGAGGAGAAACCATCGGAGTAGAAAGCTTCTTGAAAGAGTTCACGGCCATGAATGGCGATGAGGGCGGAGTATGAGCCAAGGACTTCGTGTACTTATACCCTTATTCTTGACGAACATGGAGCGATCATTTCGGTATGTACACAAGGCCACGACACGCGGGTACATCATTGAGTAAACTACATGTTGCTACTCGTCCGCAGCCTCCGCGGCATGATCAGTCTTGGCCCGAACGACATAGAGTGCGTGAGCTATCTTTCTCAGGTCGGACTCCTCGCGGATGGCCAGGGAAGACTTGCGGTCAGCAATGAGTTTTCCTGCACCTCCCATTCGTCCCGGAGACGTTGATATGTGCCGCATATTAATATTGTGGGTCTTGCGCGCAGAAGCGTACCATGAAATCCGGCAGATCCCTCGTCAGGATCGGCAGGGAGACTTCGCAGACGCGTCGGCAGCAGCAGCTCCTGAACCTGGGAGGCCACCGACACCCGCCACTGGGATGACGATTACGTCGACGAGCCCCGCCTGCTCGATCGGCTTTGCGTCGTCCAGCGCCTTGGCAGGAAACGCTGTCTGATTCATATACGACCCTAGCACGTTCTCGGGACACGACCTACACCCACTTCAAGGTTCAGCGGGGTGCCCACACGCGTAGACAGGCGGGGCCACTCACGCGGTGCTAGAGTTGCAGATGTCGCCGGCGGTGTGCGCCAGATTCATCAGGGCTCTGGTCGACCTCGAAGTGCGTGTTGGTTTTGTCCGCCGTGTGCGCACAAACGTTACCACCGGTGCCTTTCGCTCGTAGGCAGCGAGCACGACAGTGCCGCCTGGCGGCTGCACGCAGCCTGGGGAGCGCGAGAGAGGTGCGGTGCATTTCGCCAGGGCAGATACTGGGACGAGGCTCATGCGCCTTAAGCGCGCCACCTACATGCTACGTCAGGTACCTCCAATGGTTATAGCGCGTGAGGGATGACTCGAATCCGTGAGACGGGCAGGCAGGCGGCGAGCGGGATGGAGGAGAAAGGCCCAGAATCACAGCATTATCTTGGACGGCGCGCACCGTTCTCGCCGTCCGCCGTTTGCAAGCGGTGCGAGGTCGCGGCAGGCAAAGGACCCCCAGCATTGCTGGTTCCAGTTGGGCGCATTCACAGGCGTGCTCAGTCCGTGCACGGCAGCCAGATCGAGCTCGTTGTTACGCGCGAAGGGTCGCGGTGGACACGAGGCGGGAGTCGGGCAGACCTGACAAGAACGCGCAGCTGCACAAGAAGCGTACGAGGGGCCGGATTTGCCACGAGCATCCCATGCGTGGTCCTTGCGATCTGCGAGGGCTTGGGGAGTGGGAAGAGGGTCCACGCGTCAGGGCTTGACCAGGCAGGATACTCGGGGAAGCAGTGCCCGGGTAACGGGGACGCTCGAAGAGAACGTTATCCAGTGCGACAGCAGTGCGGCGCCGCGCAGAATGCCAGCCAGAGGTGAAGCATCCTCGCGCGCCTGCTTGGGAATGATGTCCGCGCCGCTCGCACTACCGCCCGCCGGAAGGGCTGCCGACTTCTCTGCGCTCGATCTTCTTCCGTCCAAGAGGGCCACCGTGATGGGCGAGCCAGAGGGGGAAATTGCGAGGCAGAGAGGTCGGCGCCCTCTGGATGCGACCACCCGGCCCGAAGCCAACGCGAACATCGACAGAGGGCACCGGCGCGTAGTCTCACTGCGGTTGCGGCGTGGAGAAGTAGGGGAGGGCGCTGGGCGCGAGCGACGTGCAGTTGTGGAAATGCGCGACGTGCGAGTTTGCCCATAGTTGAAGACGCCGCCCTCGAAGATGAGCGTGCGCGAGCTTTCCGAGTGGTCGCATTGATGCGCACGGCTTGATCTTTCGAGCGAGATTGGCCACCGCGCGCCGCGCGCCCCCGCACTCGGGCGATGAGTAGTTTGGCAGCGGGAACGGTAGGAGAAGAGTGACTTCGTGCGCCGGGATCCCAGCGCGTTCCATCGCGCGTACTGGTGTTGAGTGCGTACATATGGAGATCGTTCAACATCGACTACCTGCGCAGATTGGGTTAGCCGAGTTCGAGTAATAAACCGCATGTCTGGCACACACCTCCCACACGCACACGGTGATTCTTCGTAATGGGGCCCGCCGGTTGTCGGCGCAGGTGCGCTATCCAGCGCCTTGGCTAAGCGGCGGTGGCTCAATCGTAGACGGCGAGTGTCCCTGGGTTGGCAAGGACCGCGTCAAGGAAGGTGCCTTATGAGCTTGTTGCGGGCTGGGTACCTGTCCGGGGAGTTCTTCCGCGTTTGCAGCAGGAGTTGTTCGAGCTCGTCTATGACGTGTAGCTTGGAAGTCTCCCGGCTGCTCGTGGACGGCTGTGGGCGGGACGTTGTGAGCTGGCTGAGGTGGATAGAAGCCGTTGGATGCGCGAGTGATAGGGGCAGCGCAACGGGGACAAGCTGTATGCGGTGTTCTCGGGGCTTCCACGCCCTGCTCAAGCCCCGCCTGCCCGCTGCGGAAGCAGCTAAGCTGTGGTATGCCTTAGCGACACCTGCATAACAGTGTTCGGTGTGTCTACACGGAGCGACTCACTGATCAGCTGCTCGAGTCGGCGTGTCGATGTGTTGGTGAGAGTCTGCGAGAGTGGCACGAGTATGCTATCAGCGCTGGAATCCTGCTGACCAACGGTACATGGTGGCTTGCAGCGGCGAGGGTCTATTGATGTTCGTGAGGACGTCGACAACCATGGTGTCCGGGCGAGTCCATTGCTGTCCGCCGATGCGATGTACGGTTGCCCGATAGTCCGAGGCCGGGCATTTTTCACGACGCGCCCAAGACGCGCCTCAGCCACCGTCAGCCACGTCGCGTCCGAGTCGCTCGTCTTCCGCCAGCTCCATCTCCTCAACAGCTCACTCTGTGCTCACCCTGCGGTCATAGCAGTGCACTTGCTGCACTACAAGCATCGGGAACAGCAGAACAGAGGTATTGGTAAGCTCGTAACGGCCTTCAAATTGCCTCAAAGCTTGACGAGCCCGGGAAGTGGTAAGCGCCCGACGCCGCCGCGACTCGCTTCGAGGTCTGGTGGACACAACAACTAAGGTGCATGGCTGGGTGATACAAGTACACGGGATGCTGAACAGGTATGCAGATTATCATAGGATGGTATGGCACTCGGTATCGAATATTGAGCGTCCGGCAGGCCCAATAGAAATACTGTAAGGCATCCTGAGGCTCTCGGTTCAGGCATTTGGCGTGCTTGCTATGTCTGGTGGTGGGCCACCGGGGGTGATGTACACATAGGTAGATGTATGGTTCCAGACACCAGATATATATTTCGGTTCTGTAAATGTACACGAAGGTTTGTACTACTCCCAGACAAAGGTCTAATACTACTACTTATCACTCACCTGTCACAGCCGTGAATAGATGTGAAATTGTCATTGGACCTCCACTACGTCGGCACATCGTCGTGCTTAGTATGGCAGTGGACTTGAGACCAGTTTCTTTTCTTGCAATCAATATGCTGTCACTCCGAGTCGACATAGGATGTTCTAACTTGTTTGAGCCGTGCGCGTAGCAGACACAGTGTGCATGAATAGCTCACCATACAATATATTCTCTACCCATAGAAGCACCTCTCTTATCGTACAGTACCCTTAGTCTATCCAGAAAAGGGGGTGTAGGTATCCTCCAGACTTGTGCATTTGAGTCCGAGCGAGTCGCGGCGGCGTCGGGCGCTTACCACTTCCCGGGCTCGTCAAGCTTTGAGGCAATTTGAAGGCCGTTACGAGCTTACCAATACCTCTGTTCTGCTGTTCCCGATGCTTGTAGTGCAGCAAGTGCACTGCTATGACCGCAGGGTGAGCACAGAGTGAGCTGTTGAGGAGATGGAGCTGGCGGAAGACGAGCGACGCGACGTGGCTGACGGTGGCTGAGGCGCGTCTTGGGCGCGTCGTGAAAAATGCCCGGCCTCGGACTATCGGGCAACCGTAGCGATGTCGTGGTCGTGCCAGTGTACATACTCGGTGTGACAACGTGGCGCGCGGCGCAAGGGGACCCCGAGACTAGGGTTAGTGGTGAATCGCCGAGGCGGGATGTCATGTTACAGCCCCGATCACTACTCTATGGACACCATCGCTGGTAAATGAAGGACGGGCGCGGCGGGAAGCGTACAGTGCACAGCCAGTGCAGCGTCGGGAAGTGTGGAGGGGAAAACCGTCGGACGCCTGCGGGCGTCATCACAATCACGATTCTTTCTTTCTCTTTTCGCTCGTCTCTCCATCTCGCTGAGCGCGTTTTCTGACAGAGTGTTACAATACCATTCCACTACGGTACTACCGACTCTACCGGCGCGCTTACGACGAGCCAGAAGGCTGCGACGCGGACCCGCAAGTAGGACGAGACGAGCGCCGCAACGACGAGTGCCATGCCGCACCTGCTGGTCGCGATCAGCAAAAGCATCGCGTGCGTGCTGCCAGCATCCTACCGAGACAAGGGTCTGCCTTTTAACGTTCAACGTTCAACGTTCACCGCTGGAGGGTCAATCAACCAACGTCCGTCGCCTGGCAGAAGGGTGCTCATGTGGCCGCTGTGCGATACTTTCCTCATTCGGTATCGTTCCTTCCCGATCTAGCAACCACTCACGCGCCGCGCCTCTTAAGTTCGAACCGTCTCCCACTCGCCGACGTCTCTTCTGCTACTAGTTTGTTGTCTCTCACTCTCGTTCCCATGCTCATGTGTCTTCGTGTGTATTGATACTGGGCCGCGTCAGGCCGCGTCGCCCTGCTCCCTATCGAGTCTCCCCAGTTCTCTCATCTCGCAGTCCTGACTCCGGCACACTTGTGCGACGAGACGGTCGTGTCTGCAGCACTAATCGAGTAGCAAGTCGAGCAGAACGAGTCGGGTCGAGTCGCGCATTTTGATATCGGTAAGTGTTCCTCTGGTTTCGGCGGCCTGACTACTCATTACAGGACCACAACCGTCGTCCTTCACCAAGCCCTACGTCCATCTCGACTACTTGACCTCCCTACATCGGGACGGGCGCGTGTGTTTTGTTGCCGTTGTCGTCGCCACACACGCATCACGGCGAGCGCAAGTGCGGCGGGGCAGGCAGGCTCGCGGCGGGGTGGCTGCTGTTCGTCTCTACGCAAATGCATATTAACCGGGACATCATCCCTCAAGGCCTCAAGACGAGAGCGTCGCGACTCAGTGGCGGGGAGTCACCGCCCTCAAGCCCAATTACTGTGAGTCCACGTCGCCACCAACCCTCAAGCCTGGCGACTATGAGTCTGCTCTCCTCATCAACATCCGCTCTCTACCACCGTCGTCTTTCTTGCGGTCGTCGTCAGTAAATCTCGACCCCTCTGTCCGTCCTCTACCGCATGCGGCTCACACCGTTCGCGCTATCCCGTCGTCAAGCATGAGCACCCCGTATGTGTCCACTATCACGCCGTCGACGGCCTGCCTCGCCTATCCGCTCAACGCGTGCGCGCACCTCAGCATGCCGAAGCCGTTCGTGCACTTGACTAGGCCACCTCTCGACGTCGCGTTGGATTCCTGTACTTCAGGTAGCCTCGGCCGCCTCGTTCGCAGTAGGTGCCGCCCAAACGCTATCCTCCGACACCGCACTTCCGTCCCCATGCTCGCCGTCCTCTCCCTCGACGACCTCTCTCCCGAACGCCGCAGCCATGGCGTCCGCAGTTGCCCGCCTCCACCGCATGCAATGCCTACTCTCCCTCGCATCCTCCTTCACTGCGTCCCCGTCTAGCGGGGCCATGATCTTCCTCCCCACCCACCGCCGTGCCATGATGTCTGCCCTCTCGCGACGACCCGCCGACTACAACATCCGCCGATTGCCACGTCCGTCCAAGCCGCTGAGCCAGACACCCCCTGTGATCATTTCCTACTAGAAGGCGAAGGCGAAAGCTCCGTCGACGAACTTGCTCTCCCCCGATGCGGCGTCGCCGCAAGTAGCAGCGCGCCCGCCGCTCGCTCCGAAGAACGAGGGGCACAAGCCCACCATCAAACCGACCAAAGCTGTCATCACAGTCGTGCGTAGCCCCGGACCGCTCCACTCACGACCTGTACGCTGACAGACCAACAACGTGCGGTACAGACACCCGGCGCTGTGCGGCGGCTCCGCGTACTGCTCAAGGGGCCCACGCCCAGCTCATACGGATAGGCGTGCGGAACAAGGGCTGCGCAGGGCTCTCGTACCACCTCGAATACGTCGACAAGCTGGGCAAGTTCGACGAGGTGGTCGAGCAGGACGGCGTGAAGGTCCTCATCGACAGCAAGGCGCTCTTCTCCCTCATCGGCAGCGAGATGGACTGGCATGAGGACGCGCTCAGGTGCATTAGTCCCCCGTGTTCCCACCTGCGATCGTGCTCATCTCGCTCCGTATGTGCAGCACGAAGCTCGCGTTCAAGGACCCGAACATCAAGGACCCGTGCGGGTGCGGAGAGGCGTTCGGCGTCGGCTCGTGAGCGGCGCGCGCCGAGCCTGAGGTGTACGCTTACCGTGTTTTCTGTATCATCCCGGATGATGCCTGTGCGCACGAGCTATTCAATATCCCTGCTTCATCACATCTGTATTCATATACATCGCTACCCAGTAATACACTAGAGTGTTCGGACCGTACGCTTCGCCATCTCCACTCGTGAAGTACAGTACCGTAGCTATAGGTTTGGATGCAAGTGGCAGCTCTGTCACGACGCCGCTCCGTTAATATCTACGCTTCGCTGTACCATCGTGCTCACGTTGTCTCCGTGTTTCGCGGCGAGGCACACGGAGGTAATACAACAGCAGTCTCGCTCGAGCCTCGACGTTCGTCGACGTCGTCTGGCGGTGGAAGACTTCGGTGAACTCGGTTGTGCTCCCCGTGTTGTCCCTGTGGCTCACGCGCTCCAGCTCAAGCTGAAATATATACGGTTCCAGTATCGACGAAAACCTGATACCTAGAACAACCGAATGTTTGTCTCGAGGACACACCCATACCGCTGTCTGTCCAATTCTTCAATTCCCGAGAAATGATCATGTATGATACAAGCATAAGTGGGCGCGAATTCTTTCTCCGACAACAACATAGCCTTCGACCCGGGTTGCGGCCGCGGGGCCATTCTATACGTTGAGACCGCACAACAAATTAGTAGAACGGTCTAATGATGATGGTCCTATGCTCACGAACTGCATGCGACGATACGAGCCTGGTTGCAGGGTTGTAAGGATGTCAGTCCGTGCTGCCTCGAGGACCCTCGGCCTGGGGTTGCACCTCTGCGGCGGTATTCTTCTGTTCAACTTGCATCCTCTGATGATGTATATTATCGATGTCCTGCCTCCAGCTGTCCAATTCTCGGTAATTATGCACAGTACTTCAAGGGACATTCAGCTTTCCTTCGCGGTTTGACAAATTCCATAGTACTACGTACCTCAATATACCTCGTCCATGCGAGTGTGGCATCTTCCGCCCGACGAGCTCGTCCAACCGATCGTACCGTTCTCGTAGTGCTGAACCCATCCCAGTGTCGCCAGACGTCCAATAGCCTTCAACCTCGCCAGTGCCTATACAGAAGCCACACGACGCAACAGTACCGGAGAAGTGCTTCTCCTGCAGGATACTGTCCAATCGCGCCAGGACATCATCCTGCTCCATCGTCGTCAGCAGTCCGTCCAGGTCTTCAGCCATGTGGTCTGTCCGAAGCCATAACATAACACCCATAGCTTGGAAGTGTTTCGAGACGATGCGAGACAGGATGTGCGGGATCCAGGGCCACTCTGCAAAGGGGTAGTACAGCCGGATCTCCAACTTCCACAGTTGTTCGTGGTGTGAAAGGTTGTAATGTCGCTCTGTAAGCATGAAACAATCAGCAAAGCGGCTTCAGAGAGAACAAAGAAAACTTTCCGACTGTGGCATCAATTGCACCATCACGAACAGCAGGTCTGTGATCGATATTGAGCACAACCGTTTCTGCAGATGTGGAACTCGCGTCCAGCAAAGTCTGGCTTCTGCTGACTGCCGAGGATGAATCCAACTCGCCGACCACCCAAACATCGAGAAAGCGCACTCGAGAAGCCCGGCTGATCTGCACGAAGAGGTCTTCGACTGCTGGTGCAACCCGTCGCACTTGTAGATCGTCCAGATTTGCACAGTTCAGTGGGAGAGAGGCCGGGGAGACGCGCTGTTTCTGCACGCAGTCAACATAGATGCACCATATCTTCCTAAGCCGTGGGAGTGCTGAAACGAGGTGGGACAGCTGGGCGACACTCGACAAGGTGACATTGGAGATGCGTACAGTGTTGATGTAACTCAACACCCCAAGGAAGCCGATGTCCTCCCTTCGGACCAAGCCGATGGTCCACTCAGCATCTTCAATGGTGATCCTCCACAACATCGGAACCTTGCCCGCGAGCATAGCGGCAAACGTCCCCAGGTGCCGGATCGGTTGACGCTCCCCGGGAGAAGCACCCAAAATGATGACCTGTTGAATGACCTCACGGAGGCGAGGTTTTGCGCGGAGTGTCTTGGAGAGCGAAAGGACGTCCTTCCGGTCTCGCAGATGGATGCGTTGACGAAGATGGTACCACGTCAGGAAGTACCAGTCTTGGCATACAAGGGCGCAGGATGTGAGAGTGGTCAGATGTGGCTCGCCCTTTATGATTCGATACTGGATATTCAACCCCATCGCGACGTGGTCGACAATCCGTTCACAGACCTCCACAGGAAGCCGCGGGATCGAAGGTCCGTGAGATATGCCCTCGGACGTTGATGCGGCTCTACTGTAATGACCATGTATGAACTATGGTACGCGCGGCTGGACAGTGCCACTTACATCAACTCGACTCTGTCCATTCCTTTGACGTGGGATGTGCGCTATGGCGACGTGACCGCGCTGTCGGACCGCTGAAAGTCTCCCGCGTGCGCGTGGCGACAGCCACGCAGATCCTTGACGAAGGAAACACGTTCCTAAAAGGTTAGTCTCAGACTGCGGCTCTACAAGACAGTACTAGTGCGATAACACACTACCTGATGGGCCCAGTACTGTATGAAACTGCCTGCCAGACAAGCCAGGATGCGCCGTCTAGTCGTCGGTTCGCGCGGTACTGGCGACCGTAGGTGGTCACGACGCTAAAAGGAAAGCACGAGATCAGTAAAGATATCCGTTGGCGAAAGCAGAGTCACGGTCGTACATCGTCAGGACTCTCAATGTCTCTTCGTGTGCGCTGCAAGGACTCAGGCTTGAACCTGGACGAGGGGGAGAGCGCAGCGACAGTGAAGGCAATGATCAGTGACGTATATATGCATCAATAGAACGTAGCACGTTCGCCGCCGGTGGATGTGGAAACGTCGAACACAGACACACGATACCACAAGTGGTTCTTTGCTTAACGCCGTGAGATCCGAGCTGTTCGCAGCCGATGCGAGGATAGCCCTCTATGGCCTGAAGCCTTTGCAAAACGATACACACGTCACTAACGTTCAGCGGCGATGCACGAGAAACGCGTAGTACAGTACCAGAGGACTGCCCTCCTTGAATAAGATGCACCTCATTCTGGTGAGCGCGCACGACGCATTCTGTCCAACCCTTGTTCAATGAATGCTTAGTAGCGCGTGCGAGCGATAGCCACATAGCGTGCATGAATCCGACCTCAGCAACGTCAGACACCACTACATGGCACGGGAGGACATACCAGTAGGACCGTAGTGCGCTCAAGCAGTACATCAAGTGACCGTGATTTGTCTCGCATATCAGATCGATGAGGTGGGACTGTGTGTCTGCATACGTATGTTATTACATATGTTAGGTAAGCCCATCAGGCATACGCAAAAGTGACATACCTATGGGGGCCGGATCTGATTATAGGTCGATGCAAGACGACCGCACTCAGCCTCCCGGCAATGTACCCGGCGAATGCACGAAGGCGGTGTGCGGACAGGTCGGAAGTACGGCCGTAGGTGGGCGTATGCTGAGAGGTATGGCGCGGATTTTTGTTGTCGTATCTGCGCAACCTCTTGGCTTTCTTACGATGAGATATATCTCACGCACGCGATGAACGACATCGTTAAGCTTCTGGGATTCACAAAACATCAGCAACAATGCTGCACGGAGAAGCGCGAGAACTCACGAGATGAAGACTGCCTGCGTGCTCTCAGAGTCTATCAGCAGTGTGTACGAAGCGCAGAATGAACGAACCCGCAAAGACGTTGAGCAGCCAGGTGTCGCATCAGCACTGATCCTAGTACACAAGTCCGCGGGTAGTGAAATGGCTGACAGACAATGAGTGTGACAAAGGCGTTCTAGTCCAAACTCACGTGGTGACATACCTACAACTCAGAAAGAGGCGGATTGGTCCTCGGGTGCACGAAGTGCCATAGACTGGCAGCGCAAGCAGCAGCAGCCGATCATTTGGTTTGTGGCTGATAGCAGCTCAATCTCGGAGGACGGGATTAGGGACGAAGATCACACAAGAGCAGAGGAGAGGTCACGGTGAGGCCGAGGACTCGTAACCGTGCACGAGCACCACTTGATCTAGGGCACGAGCTGCCGACCGCCTCTCGTGCTAGCTGGCTCAAGAACGGCGAGAACTGTCCGCGTACAAGGACGAGAGTGCGGTGCATTTTGCTAGCGCAGACGTTGAGACGAGGTCCATGCGCGCTAAGCGCGACACCTGCACGCTGCGTCAGGTAGCTCCAATGGTTTAGCGTGTGCGGGACGAGTTGTATGTGTGAGACGGGAAGGTAAGCGGCGAGCCGGGTGGAGGAGAACGGCCTAGAATTACAGCATTGCCTTGATCGGCGCGCACCGTGATTGCCGTTCGCCGTTTGCGAGCGGTCCGAGGGCGCAGCAGGCAAAACACCCCCAGCGGCACCTGTTCCAGGTGCGCGCATTCACAGGCGCGCTCAGTCCGTGCGCGGCAGCCCGATCAACTTGAAAGGAAGCTCGTTGTCATGCGCGCAGGCTCGCGGCGGACACGAGGTGGGAGTCGGACAGACCTGAGAAGAGCACGCACCTGCACGAGAAGCGCACAAGCGGCCGGATTCGCCACGAGCATCCGCATCGGCGTTCTTCGCGATCTGCGAAGACTTGGGGCCGAGAAGAGAGACCGCGCGTCAGGGCTTGGCCAGGCAGGATATTAGGGGAAGTGACGCTTGATCGTGGCGCGGGTGGCGGGGACGCTCGAAAGGAACGTTACTCTGCGCGACAGCAGTGCGGCGTCGCACAGAATGCCAATCAGAGTTGAAGCTTCCTCGCGCGCCTGCTTGGGAATGATGTCCGCGCCGCTCGCGCTGCCGTCCGGGAGGGCCGCCGACTTCTCTCCGCCCGATCTTCTTCCGCCCAGGAGGGCCACCGTGATGGGCGAGTCGGGGAGGGGGAAATTGCGAGGCAGAGAGGTCGGTGCCCTCTGGATGCGACCACCCGGCCCGAAGCCAACGCGAACATCGACAGAAGGCACCGCATAGTCTCACTGCGGGGGGAGGAGACCCAGCGTGGAGAAGTAGCAGAGGGCGCTGGGCGCGAGCGAGAGCGACGTGTGGTTGTGGAGATGCGCGGCACGCCGTCCTCGAAGATGCGCGTGCGCGAGCTCTCCGAGAGTGTTCGCATTGATACATACGGCTTGATCTTTCGAGCGAGGTTGGCGACCGTGCGCGGCGCGCCCTTGCACACGGGCGATGGGTAGTTTGGCGGTGGCGACCCGCAGGAGAGGAGTTGTTCCGTGCGTCGGGAGCCCAGCGCGTTCCATCGCGCGTATTGGTGTTGAGTGCGTATGGAGATCGTTCGACATCGACGGCCTGCGCATGATTGGGTCAGCCGGGTTCGAGTTGAAAGCCGCATGTCTGGCACACACCTCTACCCACGCGCACGGTGACTCCTTGTGATGGGATCCGCTCAGGCTGGTTGTCGGGGCAGGTTCGCTACCCAGCGCCCTGGCTAAGCGGCGGTGGCTCAATCGTAGACGGCGAGTGTCCCTGGATTGGCAAGGACCGCGTCGAGGCTTGAAGGGCCCTTGTGAGCTTGGTGCAGGCTAGGTACCTGTCCGGGGAGTGGTTCCGCGTTTGTGGCACGAGTTGTTCGCATTCATCTGTGACGTGTCGGTTTGGAGTTTCCTGGCTGCTCGTGGATAGCTGTGGGCGGGACGTTGTGAGCTGACTGAGGATAGAAGCCGTTGAATGCACGGGTGAGAGTACTAGTGACAGGGACAAGCTGTATGCGGAGTTCTCGAGGTTTCACGCCGTGCTACAGCCCCGCCTGCCCGCTGCGGAAGCAGCCAAGCTGTGGCAAAGTTGAGCAACACCTGTATACCAGTGTTTGGCGTGTCTACACGGAGCAACTCACGTCTGCTGCTCGAGTCGGCGTGTCGATGTGTTGGTGAGAGTCTGCGAGAGTGGCACGAGGATTCTCTCGGCGCTGGAATCTTGCTGACCAACGGTACATGGTGGCTTGCAGCGGTGACGGCCGATTGATGTTCGTGAACACGTACGTCGGGTCCATTGCTGTCCGCCGATGCGCTGTCGTGGTCGTGCACATACTCGGTGTGACAATACGCGCTCGACGCGCGCGCGGCGTCGGGGGACCCCCAGACTGGGGTTAGTGGCGCCCCTTGAATCGCCGAGGCGGGATGTCCTTTGCGTGTACAGAATCATCCGATCACTACTCTATGGACACCAACGCTGGTTCGTGAAGCGTTCAACGCCAACGTTTCAACGCTGGAGGGGGAATCAACCAACGTCCGTCACCCAGAAGGTTGCCCATGTGGCGGCTATGCAATACTTTCCTTATTGGGTATCATTCCTTCCCGATCCGTCAACCACTCACGCGCCGCGCTTCTTTCGAACCGCCTCCCACTCGCCGACGTCTCTTCTGCTAGTCTCTCACTCTCGCTTACATGGCTCATCTGTGGCTCATGTCTCTTCGTGTGTATTGATACTGGGCCGCGTCAGGCCGTGTCGCCATGATCCCTATCGCAGTCCCGACTCGGGCCCATTGGTGCGACGAGACGGTCGCGACGCTCGCCGGCTTGTATGGTCTGCAACGGAGACTAGACGGTCGCGTGTGCAACACTAGTCGAGTAGCAAGTCGAGCAGAACGAGTCGGGTCGAGTCGCGTACCGATAGCGGTAAGTGTTCCTCTGGTTTCGGCGGACTAACTACTCGTTACAGACCACCACTGTCGTCCTTCACCAAGCCCGGGCCCTACGTCCACCTCGACTGCTCAACCTCCCTGCATCAGGACGAGCGCGCGCGTTTCTTTTTGTTTTTGTCGTCGCCACGCACACATTCTCTCCGACAGCAGGGACACGCGAGTGCATATCCACCAGGCAATCTGCATCAACCTCCGGCGGCGTCTGCCCTCAGCAAACCTCGAGCGCAACGTTGGGAGATGGCCCGGTCAAGTGCACGAATGGTTACGGTGTGATGAGGTGTGCGTGCGTTGTGCACATTCGTCGACGGCGCGATAGTGGGCACATACGGGGTGATCCTGCTCGACGACGGGATAGCGCGAGCGGTGTGAGCCGCATATGATGGAGGGCGGACAAAGGGGTCGATTCCCGCACTTCCGGCAACCTCGATCGCCTCGTTCGCAGTACATGCCGCACAACCGCTATCCTCCGACACCGCTCTTCTGTTCCCCGTCCCCATGCTCGTCGTCCTCTCCCTCGACGACCTCTCTCCCGAACCCCGCAGCCATGACGTCCGCAGTTGCTCGCCTCCACCGCACACAAGCACTCTCCCTCGCGTCCTCCTTCGCCGTGTCCTCGTCCAGCCGTGTCATGACGTACGTTCCTCCCCACCGCCGCCATGCCATGATGTCCACCTTCTCGCGACGACCCGCCGACTACAACATCCTCCGACCGCAACATCCGTCCAAGCTGCTGGGACAGACACCCCCTGTGATCATTCCCTTCGAGAAGGCGAAGCGAAAGAGCCGTCGACAAACCGCTCTCCCCGACGCGGCATCGCCGCAAGTAGCAACGCGCCCGCCGCCCGCTCCGAAGGCCGAGCGGCGCAAGCCCACTATCACACCGGCCGAAGCTGTCGTGCGTAGCCCCGGACCCCTCTAGTCAC